GCCTGGGCCTCCAGAAATATTTTTTCTTAAATATATATATAAAATGAATACGTTATTTTGTTTTCAGATTAAAAATATTTTGTGAGAAGAACTACTTAATAGTCTTCCAGCTTAATAAAATCAAATCATTTGTCAATAAATGTTTTAGAGAAGCATATATTTTGAACCATTATAGCCCCCTCGTTTGCTCTCCAAGAAGTCCTGGTTTGGATGAGAAATTACGTGGGACCCATTCCAGGGGCTCTTTTTAAGTGCGGTGGCTTTGAAACCTGAGTATGGCTCCCAAATCATTGTCTCCTGCTTCCTTGAGAAGAACCCTCATCTGTTTCTTAGTTGAAAGCAAAACAGCTGCAGGTTTTGACCATGTAGGAGATGGGTTTGGGCTACAGAGAGAAAACACTACCCTCTTGGAGCTGCAGGGGGCAGTGTGGGTCAGTCCACAGCTGGACATCCTGGGCCAGCTGGAAAGGGCACTTTCGGGTTTGGTGGGGCCAGAGGGGTCAGCTGGGCAGCTCCTGCCCAGAGGCACTAGCCCAGGGATGGCTCCTTGCCCTCAAATGCCCTGAAAGCCCCAATTATTGAGGTGGCCAGGGAGGAAGTCAGGAGCTGGGAAATGGGGACACGAGACAGCCCCCTACTCTCTGGGGTCTCCTGGGCTGGTTGAGAGGTCCAAAACCCAAATCACCTTACACAGGGCCAGACAGTGTGATCCCAGGAAAGACTCCATCTCAGGTAGCTCAACCTCAAAATCTGGTGGGGTCAAGTAAAGGATGAAGAGAGAGAGGGGACCACTCCAAGAGAGGGGGCGGGGATGTGGGGAAGTGGATGGGGCTCAGGAAAATCCCTTTCCTACCCTTGGTTGTGCACCTCGACCTGCCTCCTGCCCTCCCCCCAGCCCAGCCACTGTTTCCCAGTCTCCTGCCCAGCTCCCTTCCTCGGGCCCTGGTGCAGTGACTTCCTGCAACTTGCCGCCTTGACCCTGGCCTTCCTCTCCAATAACCCCCACAAGGAGTGCCTCCCCCACATACTGCACTTGCAGCCCACCTCCCCTTCTGACGAGGCCCCTAGACACCAAATGCAACTGCTACAGGCAGTCTCCTCAGGAATGTTCCACCGTCCTCTCTAATGCAGCCTTTCATCTTCAGTAACAACAGGACATTGCTCATAAGATTTCAGTGAGAGGCCAGGCGCGGTGGCTCATGCCTGTAATCCCAGCACTTTGGGAGGCCGAGGCAGGCGGATCACGAGGTCAAGAGATAGAGACCATCCTGACTAACACAGTGAAACCCCATCTCTACTAAAAATACAAAAAAATAGCCGGGCGAGGTGGTGGGCACCTGTAGTCCCAGCTACTCAGGAGGCTGAGGCAGGAGAATGGCGTGAACCCAGGACGCGAAGCTTGCAGTGAGCCGAGATCGTGCCACTGCACTCCAGCCTGGGCGACAGAGCGAGACTCCGTCTCAAAAAAAAAAAAAAAAAAGATTTCAGTGAGGGTTGATGAGGTCATTGATCTCCGAACCTCAGATAGCTTATCCCGCTTCATAGGAGCTCGGTAACTGGGAGCTTATATTATTGCTTTATGCCTCCCGCTAAAAATCATCCTTATCCCCACCCTAGAGCCCCCATTCTCCTTGTCTCAGCTGATGAATGATGCTCCCTCCCACCCCAGCTCCCAAGATGGAAACCCCAATACCTTTGCTGCCCCACTTTTCACCCTCATCCCACTGGTCACCACTGCCATGGACCCTACCCTTGAAATCCTTCTCGACTCCCTCCCTCCTTTCCATTCCCATTGCCCCTGGCTTGGTCTTTCTTAAACCATTGCTTAGATCAATACGTCTCAAATGTTGATGAGCAGAGGAACCACCCAGGAACCTTCGTAAAAGGTGGGAGGTCTGGGATGGTCCTGAGACTCCTGAGACTCTGCATTCCTCACATGCTCCCAGGTGATGCTCAGGCTTCTGGACCACTCTCCAGCCGCAAAGGCTACCCTGTGTCAGGAGCTGACGCGCGGCGTCCAGGGCTCCCTCTGGAAACTTTCATGGCGACTCATGGCTCGTAGCCAAGGTTTTTGAACTTCAGTCTATATAAAGCCATTATTCCCCAGATACTCGGATTTCTTCCATCTGGAGTTGGGCACAGGAATGGGCATCGTTCCTTCGTGCCCCCAGGTGACTCTAATAATGTAGATTGTTAATGGAAAAACGAGCCCCTAGGGCCAAGCCAAACTCTAGCATGGCATTGAGGGCCTACCCAATTCCTTTTCAGACTTCTCCTCCTCACTCATCTTCTCCCACGTACCGGAGAACCGTGAACTGCCTGGACAGTGGGTCCTGTCTGGGCTCCCTTCACTCCTCTGTCCCCTGCCTGCGTCTCCTTCTGCCTTCCATCCTGGATGACTCACTCTACACTGCATTTCTGGGGAAGGTTTCATTAACTGCGTAGAGGAATCATTGCTCCCTCACCTTTGCTCCTTGGCACCGTGGCCTTGTCTCCAGAGCATGGGAGTGGGGTATCAGGGTGGCTGTCCTTCTGCCTGTCCTTCCTCCTCAATGAGCCACTTTAGGGCTGAAACAAGACTATATTCTTTGCATCTCCAGGGCCTACCTGGCTGCCTGACCCAAGGACTTGCCCAGTGAGGAATATTAAAAAGACATCAGATGGAATAAAAAGACAGATTTATAATGAAATAGATAGCAGGTTGACGGTTGAGGGGAGTAAATATACAACCTGCTTTATCATAAATAAACTCCTTTTCTCATCTCAGTCCTGGAAATCACATGTAATTTCTGCTCTACATACTCAGCATTTGATAGGCTCACAACACAAACGGATGAAATACAAATCCTTAAAATTCTGCATGGTTTTAATCACTGTTTCAAGCACCATTTGGACCAGGTCACTCGTGCAGGCCCACTGAGAGTGAATGGCCAGGGACTAGCAAGTTGTCATTGGCCTTAAAATATAACGGGGGCAGAGCCGGGCTCCAGCGGGCGGACAGGCTTTGAATTCTTCAGGTTGTTGCCCACTGCCGCTCACATCAGGAAAATCACCTGCGGCTCCCCTGAGCACTTCTGGACCTCAGTTTCTAATAGATGAACAAAATGATCTTTGTCTTTCTCAAAGGTGTCAGCCTCCTCTTAGATCACTGAGCATTTGAAGAGGAGGGTTATCAAATTAATGCATGAGATGAGACAATGTTTCAGCTAGGAAGTCTGCATCTCTGGAGTTGTATTAAACCAATTAATATTCCCCAATCAATTACTCTGTAATTTACTCAAGTATATTAAAAGTATTGTGGCAGTATGCAGTAACAGATTTTTAAAAACCGTGTGTGCCTACATGGGCAGAGCTGCCTGTTATGGAAGGGCCAGGGCAGCATGCAGCGGGGGTGAGGGCTTCTGTCTCCAGGGTTCCTGGGTTCAAATCACGGTTCCTCCATGTCCTCCAGCCTGACTTTGGGCCCGTTCTTTATCCTTCGGGAACCTCTGTTTCTCAGCCCTGTGGGGTTATTGTGCGGATAATACAGATATAAAATACCCAGCACATACTAGGTGCTCATGGAATTATTTGTATATATGGCTCATTTTACAAATCTAAAATGTGTATTTTGGAAATTAAAAAAGAGGAAAGAAGTAAAAGTGCTGATTGCCGCCATCGTAGTTGTTCTGGGCTAATTGTTATAATGTCCTCATAATGGTTTCATCTTGATAGTGGTGATTACTGAAACACAATTAGGATTTTTCACGCTCATTCAGATATCTTCTCTAATTACAAGCATTAGTGTTTAACATGTGGGCAGCCGGGGAATGGATGTTTCTTGGCCTCAGTTCTGAAATGGGGTCCATTTGCATCCCTGAGGGAGGCCTCAGGCAGGAGAGGGCTGCTGGTGGGAACAGGCTGACCTTGGATGGGGTTCAGGGGGTGGGGAGTGGAGGGGGGCACACCTCCACTGCATGTCTGCATTGTCAACAGCAAATCCCATTCAGCAGGTGCCACTGCCCACCTGCACCTGCCAGTGAGGCTCTAGTGACGGGTTTCCACACCACCAAGCAGTCACTGCCACATTTAGTGATGCTCTGATGTTTTGGCAAAATGGAGTGCCAGGTGAAGATCTGAGGTGATGGCCCACGGGTCCTCAGCATGAAAGAGCCTTTTTCTGTGCTGAGCCACTTTACAGTCTGGGTCTGCCCCTGGGCATTCCTACCCCCTACCCCCAATAAACATTCACCTGCATCCCAGGGTACTCAATTGGCTCTGTCAAGATGAGTGGACCATAGCCCCATCCTTACAGAGGCAGCTTACCTCCACTTCACCTGAGAGTTCAGACACGGCCATGGTCAGAGGCAAGGGTCAAGCTGCAGCCAGGCAGAGTGTGCTGGAGCCAGACCAAGCATGCAGGAGCTAGACTGCGTGTGCTGGAGCAGCGAGGAATAGAGAACTTGGCTGCAGCCGGGCGATGAGGCTGCCTGAACTAGGCCCTGGAGGATCGACGTTTCCCAGGCAGAGTGAAGGAGGACAAAGAAACAGATTGAAAAGCAGTGTCTTGCTGGGTGTGAAGAGGACAGCTGGCCAGAGAGCAAGGCTTGAATGGGAAGGGTAGAGTTAGCAGGGCGAATGGAGGGTGGATGGTAGAGGGTCCAGGACGCCAGGCTAGGTCACCCAGAAGTGATTTCTCCTAAGTGGTTCCGGGGAGGGCAGGGGTGTGGGATGAGATCGCCCTGGGTTCCAGTCCCCGACCTGCCCCCACTAACCATCAACCAAGCGGGTCCTCTGAGTCCTGGTTCCCTCCTTTGAGTGAATGTCCATAGTCAGTGACCGTATCCCCCTGGTGTTGGGAAGGCTCAGTGAGATGATCCGTGAAAGTGACAGGCAAACTTCTTGGCTCAGAGGAAGCCCTGAAATGAAGTTGGCTCTTATCCTCATCATCACTGCCCGGCACTGGAGGGTCCCACGGCTGCTGCTGGATGACCTCTGAGCCTGTCCCTGCCTCTCTGCAGGTCCACCATGGAGCCCTTGTGTCCACTCCTGCTGGTGGGTTTTAGCTTGCCGCTCGCCAGGGCTCTCAGGGGCAACGAGACTACTGTCGACAGCAACGAGACCACCACGACCTCAGGTAAGGACCCATGCCCCTCTCCCTTTCCCTGGCTGCCTCCCTTACTGCCTCCTCCTGAGCTCCTGGGACCATTCAGAGGGTGAAAAGGGGCTTAGGGTAAGAGAAGAATGGTGTCGCTCAATTTCTTAGTGTGCTTTTCATAGTTTGTGCCTCTAACAACAGGAAGGCTAAATAAGCTAGTTTAGCATTTGGTTGTTCAGCAAAGCTTAGTGTTCTAGAGGTGTCCCATCTACGACCCCAGCTGAGAGTCGGGGTCAGCCTTGGCTGGAGGCGGGAGAGCAATAGGGTTAAAAATCCCCCAAAATCCCGTTGTGCAGAAAACCAACCATGAACATACATGGACGAGGCGATGTGACAGTTAATGTCCCTGATGTGACAGTTAATGATATGAACTAAAGAATTATTCTTAGGCCGAGTGCAATGGCTCACGCCTGTAATCCCAGCACTTTGGGAGGCCGAGGGGGATGGATCACGAGGTCAAGAGATCGAGACCATCTTGGCCAACATGGTGAAACTCCATCTCTACTAAAAATACAAAAATTAGCTGGGTGTGGTGGTGCATGCCTGTATTCCCAGCCACTCAGGAGGCTGAGGCAGGAGACTCACTTGAACCCAGGAGGTGGAGGTTGCAGTGAGCCGAGATTGTGCCACTGCACTCCAGCCTGGCGACAGACCAAGACTCTGTCTCAAAAAAAAAAAAAAAAAAAAGGAATTATTCTTAATATTTTAGGTCAGATATTGGCATCATGGTTAGTTTTATTTTTAAAAAGAAGAGTCCTTGCCTTTCGAGATGCCTGCTGAAGCGTTCATGAGTGGACTGTGATGTCTAGGCATTATGCAGAAAAGAGCAAGAGGGAAGTGGGGGGTGGGAGCTTGTGAGCAAAGTCACACCGAGGGCCCCACATGATTTTCTAACGCTGGACAAATGTCCTGCGAATGTACACTTGGTCCCAGGAGGAGGAAAGAGTGAAGATTTCTGGCAACAGAACCTCCAGTGAGGAGAGCAGTTCTAAGCGCCCACCTGTCTTTTTCCTCTTCATGTTGAAACCTCAGAGACATCTAAAACCCCAAAAACGAGAGACCAGAAGCTGCCAGCAAATATAAACTTGCCTCTTTGCAAGCCAGTCCTTCAGGGGCAGGTCACTGATGATTCAATGAGTTATTTCAACCCACAATCCCGACTTTTCTTCCCAATGCAAATCAACTGGCCACTTAGAAATATCTGACAAACTGCCTGGATGTCCCCTCACATCCAGGAGTCACAACGGCAGAACATCCGTTTGCGCAACAGTGGGGAAGAATCTGCCCGGGTTCTGCAGACAGTCCCTCAGGTGGCACTGTGGGCACCAGCAGGATGACGTCCACTCCACATCTGAGGCTTTTCAGTTTATTTGAAAACAAAATTATTGGCTCACATATTGCCACAGACATGGGGTGTTACTTTCAGGAGAAGGACACTGTCATGTGACCTCAGCACCCAGAGCAGAACTAAATGTGAAACTCACACCTTGGTCCAGCCTCTGCCAGGGCCTCTGCGTGCTGAGCAAGGCTGCTGGTCCACAAGCAAGAGGGAAACGGGCCTCGGGTTATAAGGCGCAGATGGGCTTCTTTGACCTAGAATTGTAGAAGGGAACCTGACCCTGTGAAGTGCCCTTTAAATCTTCATCTGACCCCCAGAAGAAGTATGAAGGACCATTTCAGATGATAACACGTTGCCACAGTGTGCCAAAATAACAGGAAGCTGTTTCATTTGTTCATTGAACAAATTATATTCAGTACTCATCCAGACACATTCTTTTACAGAAGGAATTGAAGGTAAATGTTTACAAATTATATAATAAAATAATATGTAGAAGAACACAATGGAAACATGAGTAAAGAATATGACCAGGCAGAATACAAATATCTAATTATGTTTCACTAATCATGAAAAGATGCTCAACTCTCTAGAAATTAGAGAAATGCAAGTTAAAATAACATTATCATTTTACCTACCAGATAGACCGAAATGAAAAGGGTCGGCAATATCCCAGAGAAGAGAAATTGCTCCATTGCCCGCTACGGGCAGCGTTCCGCAACCTTTGTGACACCAGGGACCAGTTTAATGGAAGACAGTTTTTCCGTGGAGTTGGTAGGGGGTGGGGGTGAGGAGGGCATGGTTTGGGGATGATTCGAGTGCATTATATTTATTGTGTACTTTATTTCTATTATGATTACATTGTAACATACAGTGAAATAATTATACAACTCACCATCATGTAGAATCAGTGGGAGCCCTGAACTTGTGTTCCTGCAACTAGACGGCCCCTCTGGGGGTGATGGGAGACAGTGACAGATCACCAGGCATCAGGTTCTCTTAAGGAACAAGCAACCTAGATCCCTGTCATTCACTATAGGGCTCGGGCTCCTGTGAGAATCCGGTGCCACCACTGATCTGACAGGTGGCAGCGCTTAGGCGGTAATGCTTTGCTCACCTGCTGCTCACCTCTTGCTGTGTGGCCCAGTTCCTAACAGGCCACAGACTGGTACCCATCTGTGTCCTGGGGGGTTTGGAGACCCCTGCTATGGATGAGTGTAGAAGTTGGAAACTTGGGGCTGCCAACTTGGCAGTTGTGTTAAAATGTAACAGGCGTAGAGGCTAACACAGAAGCTATCCTACAGAAACACTTTCGAGACACAAAGATATATATATATGTGTGTGTGTGTGTTGCAGAACTGTAGGTAATAGCAGAAAAGTTGGAAACAACTTAAATGTCCATCCTATTTTGGTCTATCCAAAAAGTGGAATCCAAGCAGCTATTAAACAGAATGAGGAAGCTTATCTGGGCTGACGTGGAAACTCTCCAAGACAGACAGCCGTACCAGAAAGGCAAGCTGGAGAACTGCCCCGCGGTGCATTTCATCTGTTTCTTTCATATTTAATGTGGCTATATGGGGACGTGTCTTAAAATTGGTAGCACTTCACAATTATAATCAGTATCATTTTTTTTCTTTCTTAGTGGTACTTAAAATAACGATACTTTTTACAATCCGTGAAGCTTTGGATGAAACGAGAAGAGTAGTATGGTCTATTTATTTCCCAAACCTGCATATTTATGAACATAAATTTATAGAAGAAAATGTCAGGAAAGATACGCTTTGAAATCTTAATTATGTTTAACTCTGGCAAAGAGAACAGGTTCCTGAACATCGAAAATTTTAGGCCAGAGTGAGCTGGGACCTTAAACCATTGTCTGCGCACCTGCCCTTGAGTGAGCCACTTCTTTCCAGCATGGACTTGCTCCGCCTCTAGGGGCCCTGGGGGAAGGAGGGCTTGACATGAAGGTGGGAGAGGAGAAGAGGGACAGAGATAAGACGGGGGCCGCAGTGAGAGCAGCTGTGCCCTGGGGCAGAACTGAGGTGGTCCCTGGAAGACCCCAGCTCTGGGCTGGAGCTCAGGATGAGCTTCCTGAGCAGAGGGTGCTGGGTGGTCACACTGTAGCCAAGGTTGCCGTTCTCTTTGTCTGCTCCAGAGTCACATTCAAGCCTAAGGTTTTCAACTTGCAGGATCAGATTCTGTGTAAGCAAACATGCACACACACACACACACACACACACAAAGTTGCAAGTGTACATACGTATAAAATCGGTGTGAACATACACACACACTTTGCTTTGGGCAATAGCTGGACGGTCATTCAGGAAGAAGGCTGCTTCAGGATGACCACCCTGGGGACTGGTCACCTTGACCTCTGCCCCACCCCGTCGGAGCCACGACAACATGAAATGAAAATAGACTATGACTGGAATTTCCTTCTCAGATGCCTCCCGGCCTCCTGTCTGGACCATGTTGGCGCCCAGAGGACATTTTTGTTTTCTTCCTGGTTCACACCATTTTAAAAAATTGTATTTCAATTGAATTTCTTACCAATATTTAAAAATCAGAAAATGTTTACATAAAAATATGAATTTCTTCTTTAGGAAAGTGGGAAGAACTAGGCACTGTGGGCACCCCTTGCGCTTGGCCCCAGTGGGCTGGAACTCAGCAGTAGCCGTCCCTGCAGGCAGCACACGGGGAGTCCCCACTCCCGCCCCCACTGCCCTCCCCGCGCCGCAGGGAATGTTCTCGCCTGCCCCTTGGGTTGGGTTTCTGATCCTGATCTCTGGCCCCCTGAACAGAGGCAGCTACTACCCCAATCGTTGCCTTCCAGGGGCTTCCCCAGAAACCTGGGCGCCACGGCAGTCATGCTGAGGGCCTGTTTACTCAGGGCAGAGTAAGGTTTGCGCTTTGAGGCATCCTGGGCCTCTCTGGGTCCGCAAGAGAGTAGTCCAGTGGGCTTCTTGGAGGTGGGGGCCTTTGAGATTGTCCTTGAGGAGTGGGAATATTTTGGTGAGGAGGGGGCTGTGTGGCCGGCTGGGGAGGAGCAGGAACAAAGTCCGATGTTGGGAGAGCGGGTGGGGTCCAAAGGTGGCAGCGAGGCCACGAGGGCCCCTTGGAATTTGGGCTGGTGAGCCAGGGGCAGGTCCTGAGCAGCAACAAAGCCGCTGAGCTGGGCCTGGAGCTGCGGTCTCTTTCCGGGTGAGGAAGGTCAACCTGTCAGGTACAAAGGACAGAGTAAGAGGCAGGTGGTGGCTGGGCACTCAGCCTCTGACACGTGGAATCGGGACCTGGAGGCTCTGGAAGGTGGGGTCACAGTGCGCTAGGGCCACAGGCCTCTACCCAGCCCCAGGGCCCGGCCGCCTCCCTATGCCAGAGCTCCTGCCCAGCCCAGGGGGCCCTGAGAGCTGAGCCATGCCAATTCAGCCTCCCGCACTGTCTTAGGGCCCTGCAGTAGACACCCGCCCCTTCACCCTTCTCCAGCTTCTTAGCAGGAGAGCCAGGCAGCCAGGCAGCCAGGCCGTGTGGGGGTCTGCGGAACTCACCCCTGTCATGCCTGCCCCAGGGATCTTGGACAAGTCACCTCACCCACTCCTCAGACCTGGATTCTTTCTCTGAATCAACAGCAACAACCAAAGCTACTTCTCTGTTATCTCGTGGGGCCTTTTCAGGATGATGGATCCAGTTTGCAAACTATAGTGTGGGGTTCTGGTGTCCAGGAAGAAGAGCTCATGGAGGGGGACTCTTGTGCAAACTGTGAAGTGAGGTCAGGGGTTAGGGTCTTTCTGCTTCTCCTGCAGGCCCTCCGGACCCAGGCGCCTCCCAGCCACTGCTGGCCTGGCTGCTACTGCCGCTGCTGCTGCTCCTCCTCGTGCTCCTTCTCGCCGCCTACTTCTTCAGGTAGGAGTGTCCTGGTGCACTGACTTGCCCCAACCAGCTCAGAGGAGGAAATGAGCCTTCTGATGCTGCGGGCGTGGGCCGTGCAGCAGAGGGCAGCTGGGAGGCTGGGTGGCCGAGCCTGGGAGACACACAGAGGCCAGGCCTTAGCACGGCTCAGCCATGAGCAACAGGAGTAGCTTTTCCCGGCTCACCTGGTGGGTATCACTGTGCCGAGCGCTGTTGGCTCTTAGGGAACCTGAAAGTGTGGAAACCTAACAAGTCCTGTGTCTCTAAGGTTCAGGAAGCAGAGGAAAGCTGTGGTCAGCGCCAGCGACAAGAAGATGCCCAACGGAATCTTGGAGGAGCAAGGTACAGAAGCTCCTCTCTGGCTGGGGCTTGGGGGAAAAATGTGTTCTTTTTTAACAGACACTGACGTGCTTTCTCTCTTTAACATTCAAAGTAAATTTTGAGGTGTGCCTTGCCACTTTCATCTCACTTTACCTGGTATGATGCTGTCATTTAGAATTTCACTATTTCAAAACTTTGAGGATCATTTTTCTCTCTGGCGTGACACGGACGTTTGAGACATTTTTGTTTGTGGCTTTTTTTAGAGAGACTGTTCATATCCTGTCATTTTCACAGGGTGTTGACATGTAACACTTTTCAGTGAGGCCTTACAATGGTTCTCAGATAAGACTGTCTGGCTCATAAACTATTCAACTGGGTTTGTACTGCTTTAGGATCAAGCTGGAAAAAGGGACTTGCTCTACTAAAGTGCTTCATGTTTACAGAGCATCAGAGTCAGCTGGGAGCATTTCCAACTTCTCCGTCAGAAGTATAGTTTCTCACTTGTTGTTGCTACTTACAACGGAACATTGTTTTTCTCTCCATACATCGAGATGAGATGACCGAGAAACGTGTGTAAGGCAGAGGCCACAAAAATATTACTTCACACCCCAGTGACTACAACTTCCTGGAGTCAGCTTCCTACCTAACTGTAATCAGTTCTATGGTTTGGGGGAACCCACGTGCTGTCAGACTAAAATAGACTCTTCAAACGGACCTTAGATAATTAAAAGAATATCACTAACAAGGACCAGCTGAAATGGAGCCTCCCGGTGCTCGTGGGACCCGAGCCCCTGGTTAGATGATAATGTGGCCCCAGGTGCTGTCTTCCTGCCCTTGTTCCAGCCCCGGGTTCCCTGCCCTGCACGTTTCAACGGCAGGAACGGGAGGGAAGAGGGTGCGGCTGGTGAGTAGCAAGGCAGCTCAGCGTCATTCATTCTGATCCTGTCTGTCACTTGGAGGAATGAGCTTTGGGTGAAGTTTTTGACTGGGCTTCAGAATGGCTCTGCAGGTAGGGACAGGCCCTTTTGCAAGTGTGACAGCTGGGTTATCGTGCTGACCCATGATATCATGCTGGGTTGTCAATATCAGCTCATCCTCCAGGAAGAGAAACATATGCCCATGACTGTTCTTGCCTCTCATTCCGGACCTGGGGAAGGAATGTGTCCAAGAACTCCCTTATATTGTGTACTTCTCCTTCTCGATGCCCCTTGTCACCCTCCCCAGACAAGGGTGGTTTTCCCTTGGAGCTTATGGGGTTTGAGGAACCAGGAATATTTGTTATGAAGAAGAAAAGGCTGAGAGAGACTGTTCTGAGTTTGCTCCCAGAAGCCATAATTACTCTTTCTTATTTCCAAACCTGGAAAGCTGAGCTGGAGAGTGAGGCCATCTTGAATCCTTTTTTAGAAGGAACAGGGGCTGGAGGGAAGGAGAGGTGGAAGGGTGGGTGGATGAGTGGCCTAGGGAGGGGGACAGGGTGTCTCCTATGAGGGAGAGCAGGTGACACTGGGCAGAGGGACGCCTGTCACTTGTAAATGATGTGGATGCCTCATAGGAGTCGAGTGTTTGGAATAAGCTGCTCGGGACCCGGCTTAGCCCAGCTATGTGATTTGAGAGAACCGTTCCAGCTCCAGCCTGGTCATTTCTTCAGGAATGTCGTTGGTCAGCTTGGTTACTCAGTCACCTGTCCAGGAATGTGGCTCAATGGCCCCCATGTTTCTTTTGATCCCACAGAGCAGCAAAGGGTGATGCTGCTGAGCAGGTCGCCCTCAGGGCCCAAGAAGTACTTTCCCATCCCTGTGGAGCACCTGGAGGAGGAGATCCGTATCAGATCCGCCGACGACTGCAAGCAGTTTCGGGAGGAGTTCAACGTGAGTGTGGGGAGGGGCCCCCTGCTGGGTGCCCTGTGGTCAAGACCTGTGAAATCCAGTGTTAGAGTTCAGGAAGAATTATCCCAAAGACTCAGAACCCTTGCATTGGTTATGACACTGTCCCATGAATGGGTGTGGGAGGAAACCTGGTTTGTGGCGCAATGCCCTTCGCCAATGCATATTTCCTCATTTATAAGATGAGACAGTTGAGTTAGAGGTTTGTGAAGCCTCTTTCCACCTCCCACACTCTGAGTGTCAAGTTTTAAAATCAACTGTGACAGAAACACTGTTATCTCGATAATGTAGAAGGCTAGGGCCTGAGCACAGCAAAATATGACAATATCATGGTGAAAGCAACAGAGCCCCAAACCATCCTTTCATGGCTTCTGAGAGCTGGAGCATCTAATCGGAGTAGGCGATGTTCCTCTTCTGAACCACCATCTCAGCATTAAGGAAGCAGCTATGAGCTGCCTTGAGGGAACACAAGCTATATCTGCTTGTGTATCAACATGGGTGGGTGGGTGGGTGGATGGATGGATGGATGAGTGGGAGGGTGGATGGATGGATGGATGGATGGATGCATGCATGGATGAATGGATGGATGGATGAGTGGGAGGGCGGATGGATGGATGGATGGATGGATGCATGCATGGATGAATGGATGGATGGATGAGTGGGAGGGCAGATGGATGGATGGATGGATGGATGGATGGATGAGTGGGAGGGCAGATGGATGGATGATGGATGGATGAGTGGGAGGGCAGATGGATGAATAGATGGATGCATGGATGGATGGATGGATGAGTGGGAGGGTGGATGGATGGATGAATGGAAGGGTGGATGGATGGATGGATGGATGGATGGATGGATGGATGGATGGATGAATGGATGGATGGGTGCATGAATGGATGGATGAATGAGTGGGAGGGCAGATGGATGGATGAATGGATGGGTGGATGGGTGGATGAATGGATGATGGATGGATGAGTGGGAGGGCAGACGGATGGATGGATGCATGGATGAATGGGCAGATAGAGAAGTAGACAAACAGATATGAGGATGTGTTGTCTTGGATTTTGCTATTCAGTATTTATCCTTGGTTATGTTTTGAATTTTATGCATCTTCACCTTCTTGCATGTGGCTATGCTGAGTGTTGATCGTAAAGAGGATAGGTTTTCAGCAGAATTGCTGACTGGTCCTGGCTATGCCTGTTGCATGCTGGCCCTGGCACATCAGTTAATCTCCTTGAAGTTGTCTTCCACCACCTAGGAAGGGGCAATGGAGATGGGCCTGTCTTATTTACCTTGAAGTTGGAATGGGAGGCTGAGACGATGGATATTGTAAACAAGTGTTGTGCAGTTGTTATATCTGAAGATGGCATGAACTCTGCTGCAGACGTGGGACTTAACCCAGAAGCAACGTGTGAAGGCATGGGAAGGTGGTGGCACATGTAAACTGTACATTGCTTGTTTTTTTTAGCACAAGACTCCTCTGCCTTTATCTCGCTTCCTTTTTATTGTTTCCAAATGTGTCCCCTTTTTTGGAGAAATTAGGTCATATTGAAAGACAGCTTCAAGCACTATTGTGTTGCAATCTCTCAGCCTGACAGCAGACCTTCTCATTTTCAAAATAACTATCCAAGTTTTCAGCTAGCAGATCCCCTTCCCCACCCTTCTTATCCTGTTTCCCCTTGCACTTTTGTTTCCCCAAGTGGCAGGGGCTGGGCTTGCTGATGGGGGTGTCTGAGTCAGAACCAGCTCAAAAGTGGGGGCCACTCCCAGGGAGGGAGTCCGGGAATAGGGTGGGGTAGGTGAGACATTCACCCCAGGCACAAAATTTAAGGCAGCACCAAAAGCTCAGTAGTGGGATAAATGATATTTTAACACAACACTTAAAATATCAAAAGTATCAGGAAAGGTAACACAGGAAAGGTAACAAATAAAATGTCAAAATGGATGCAGGCAGCCCCTGGTGAAGAAAATAGCATGACCATAAAGGAAGATAGGCTTGGGCTGACGGTTTTTCCCTGTTGCCCTGGGCCCTGATACATATGGCTTGTCACCACACAGCTACTCACCCTGCCATTAGTTAAAACTTTCATATTTTGTTCATCATAGATTTTGTGCCTTGATTTGGACTTTTAAAAATATTGCATTTGAATATAATTTCCCCTGGTTTTGGAATTTTGGGGGCACCCCCATTAAATTTTGCACCCAGAGGAAGTCCCTCATGCTCTTCTGCCACTGTGTGGCCCTTGGCTGAACATTGGAGTCCCTCTGCTCAGTGACAGGCAGGGTAGAGATGCGGTGGAGGGGAAGAACACTGGGCCCGAAGTCAGGATCACGGAGCCTGATCCTGTGTCTGGGGAACCCTGGGGGAGCTGCTTTTTTGTCATTGTTTCGTTTGTTTGTTTGAGATGGGGTCTCACTGTGTCTCCCAGGCTGGAGTGCAGGGGCCTGATCACAGCTCACTGCAGCCTCAACCTCCCAGCTCAAGTGATCTTCCCACCTCAGCCTCCCAAGTTGGCTGGGACTATAGGCATGTGCCACCATGCCCACTGGCTTTTTACTTATTTTTTGTAGGGATGGAGTCCCACTGTGTTGCCCAGGCTGTGCTTTTTTCTCATCTGTCCAGTGAAGGGCTGGCCATGTCCTGAGACCATGTTCATGCAGCACCCGTCCTCTGAGAGCACTGGAGCCTGCCATGGCCAGCTCTCCCTCGGGTCCTAAGAGGGACATGCTCCCAACCCCATCTTTCTTTTCTCTTGCCCTCAGATCTGAACTCCTCTCCCCAAAGTCATGAAAGGGAGACACTAAAGGGAGACACAGGAGTCTCAAAGTGGCTGATCCAGTTGAGTTTTGACATGTGTGCATTACCAATTCAAAGTGCGGGCAAACTTGGTGGGGATGAAAAGGATTTGGTATTGGGGTCCATACAGAGATTGGCTCACGGCAGTCTCTGCCTCCCAGGTTCAAGCGATTTTCCTGCCTCAGCCTCCCAAGTAGCTGAGACTACAGGCGCCCACCACCACGCCCAGCTAATTTTTGTATTTTTAGTAGAGACGGGATTTCACCATGTTGGCCAGGCTGGTCTTGAACTCCTGACGTCAGGTGATCTGCCCTCCTCGACTTCCAGAGTGCTGGGATTACAGGTGTGAGCCACCACACCTGGCCTAATTTATCTTTTCACAGACTTTATTTTAGAGCAGTTTTAGCTGTACAGAGTAATTGCACAGAAAGTACAGAGTTCCCATATGCCCCCTTCCTCCCCTGCGAGCAGTTTCTCCTATGATTAGCTTCCTGCGTTCGTGTGCTTCAACTGCTGCAACTGATGAACCAACACTGCACTGTTGTTACTAGCAGAAGTCCACACGTCAGGGTTTGTGTGTTGTGCGTGCTGCGGGTTTTGACAAATGCACAGTATCATGTACACACCATCCGGTATCACGCCTCCTGTGTGTTTTCAGTGCTGGGGCCAAAAAAAGCTTTCGCGGGTAGAAAAAGAGAAGGCTTTAGAATTTTACCACAGATGTCAGGCTTAGATTAGGTCGAGAAGGTCAGTATGAAGATGGCTCTGATGAAGAATCAGGAACTACAGGCGGCGTAGATGCTGTGGCTGGGGATGAGGCCGAGAACCACCCATCACCCTTGCCACAGTGCCGCCAGGCAGGTCCCTCCACATAAGCCACCCTCTTGCCTCTGCTTTGGGACCAACAAACCCCATGGCCTGGAAGGGCCTCATCCTGTGGCCATGGGGTTTGGTGGCTCCAAAGCAGAGGCAAGAGGGTGGCCTATGGTGCCCCACCATGGGCACCGGCTGGTCAGATCTGAGTCTGCAATTGGAGAAGCTTCCTGCCCTCGGGAGAGGAAGGCTCGGGACACCTGTGGGCGGCAGGTCAGGCCCTGCCCCGCGTTGTGAGCAAGCCCAGGCCTGCATGACTTAGATCCAAAGCTACACAGTGAGGCCTGCTCCGCTGTCCTGGGTGGTTGCAGCGGACCCCTCACATTCTCCCACATTTGAAGAAGTGAGCATCCTCCTGGTGGTCTGGGCGCTGCTCCAGGCTCCTGCCCCTTGCTCGCTGGGTGACCCTGGGCAAATCTACAACACCTCGCTTTGGCGTTCAGTTTCCTCACCCATAAAACGGGGACCATCCTAGTATCACCTAATAGTAGGTGAGTTGCGAAGGCTGGGGCAGATGACCCGGCTCCTTCCACCGTACCTGGCACACTGAGGCGCTCGATGCATATTGATACATGTTACTGGAATCCCAGTGGCCCCGGGTCCAGCCACTGGTTGGGTGTAATGTCAAAGAACAGGACTCAGGGCTTGAAGAGGCTCTTCACACTGTGGATTGTGGGGAGCTCACCTGAGCAGCAAGCAGATGCAAGACAGCTGGAGGTGACCAGGAATCAGAGGTGGCGGCTCCAGGCAGCAGAAAGAACTAGAATTCAGGCCACTAGAGTTCACACTTAGCTATGTTGCTCAGAGGGGATAGGGGCCCGGCGGCATTCCTTTCACACCTGACTTCCCTGACTGGGACAAAGGAGTTGTTAGGGTAGTGCTTCCCAAAGACATGTGCACTGAAGCCCTGGGATCATGGTAATATTCATGCTGATTCTGTGGGTCTGGGGTGCGGCCAGAGAGTCTGCATTTCTAAAAAGCACCCTCCCAGGCGTGCCCATGCCACTGGTCCACAGAGCACGCCTGGAGTCTTAAGCAAGATCAGGACTGTATCTAAGGCCGTTTCCCACCCCTCGCCTCCCAGAACCACTCTATTCATCCTTCAGCCCCAAAGTCACAGCATCCCACTGTAAATCCTCTGTGTGCCTGTCCTCGCTCCCCCATCTCCCAGTTCACAGCTCTGTCGCAGTCAGTTCTTACCAAATCACAGGCACCTGCTCTAGGCCCGGGCCTGTGGGCCCTGAGATACCATGGAAATGGAAAGGCAAGTCTCCACCTTCATGCAGCGTAGGGTCTGGCTGATGAGACCGTCACTTTGACCACACCGCTGTTCACCCCACAAGAGAGCACCCTGGGGAAAGCCAGGGTCTGTGTCTCCTTCATTCTCTGCCCCGTGCCTGGTACAAGGTCTGAGGCAGAGACGGACTATGGACAGCAGGTAGTTTGCTCCACATGTTTTCGCAACTCCTGTGCTCAGTAGGGAAACTGACATGAGCATGGTGCTTGAAACCATCACATTTCATACTAATGCTACATTTTCTTCCAGTCATTGCCATCTGGACACATACAAGGAACTTTTGAACTGGCAAATAAAGAAGAAAACAGAGAAAAAAACAGATATCCCAACATCCTTCCCAGTAAGATTTTATTTTATGTTTTGCATGATCGATGGTGTTTGCACTAAACTCAGCTTTGCCTTGCAGCTCCCCATGACTGCGGGCCATTCCTGTGCTCAGAGGCCAAAGATTGAGGCCCCAAATCTAGCTGCTCAGCGTTTGCACCTAGGACTCCAGAATGTTCCTGTCTAGGTGGCAGTCTCCCCGCACAGGCCCTGGGCACCTTGGTTGCTGGTGGGTCTGGCTGCCAAGCCTGTGCTCACTGTTGAGACCTGGGCTGTTTGGGGCCCAGCAGGTAAGGTGCTGTTTCGTGGCCATGGGTGCCAGCTGGCAGGGCCTCTCCTATGGAACTCAGGCCTGGCACCCAGTCTAGGCCTGCGAGTGGCCCTGGGCAACTCCCTTCCCTCAGACTCAGTGCTTGTGGCCACAAACTGCAAATCCCTAGAGTTGTCTGGAGTCCTGGACCAAAGACAAAAATGACAGAATATGAAACTTGTAGGTGGGCTGCAGCTTTGTAGGAAGGCTCTGAATAGACCTGATTTAACCCCAACAGTACAAGTGGGCATGGGCCGGGAAACATGGGTGCCAGGAGGTGGCAGGGCCAGGGAGCAGATGGATGTGTGCAGGGGCGTGTCTCAGTGACCTGGGGGCAGCTTTCACAGCCTGTCTTGGTGCCAAGACAAACCCTGTAGGTTCTGAGCCGCCTTTGTAAGAGCTGGCCTGGGCCAGGTGCTGTGGCTCATGCCTGTAATCTTAGCACTGTGGGAGGCCGAGGCAGGTGGATCTCCTGAGGTCAGGAGTTCAAGACCAGCCTGGCCAAGATGGTAAAACCCCATCTCTACTAAAAATACAAAAAATTAGCCAGGCATAGTGGTGGACGCCTGTAACTCCAGTTACTTGGGAGGCTGAGGCGGGAGAACCTCTTGAACCCAGAAGGCAGAGGTTGCCATGAGCCAAGATCACGCCATTGCACTCCAGCCTGGGGAACAAGAGCAAAACTCCATCTCAAAAAAAAAAAAAAAAAAAAAAACTGGCCCAGCGGCGGGAGTTGGGGGGTGCAGTTCGGGATCCTTCACCCCACCTGGGCCCCTCCCATCGTCTGCTTTGCCCATGAGGCTAACAAAATGGCATCCTCAAAGGGCTCCACTAAGTTCAGGTCTAAATCCTGAACCTGCAGCCTCCCCCTGGTCCACAGAGGGAGTCACCCCACCCTGCCAGGGCCTCGGTGGGATGGAGGAAGGCAGCCCATGTGGGCCCCGGAAGGCTGCTCACTGCTGCATTTTTCGGACTAGAATTGACTTCACCTGTTCTGTATGTCAGAGCAGCTACAGTCTATCCGATCTGTGGTCTGTCCAAACTGTGCACTTTTTAGAAATAACTCTGTCTCATTTTACATGCATAGGATTGACGTGGTTTTTACAAAACCCATTGTGAACCCACGATCCAATGAAAACTGGGAGAAATCCGTCAACTAGTCTTTCAGTCAACACATATGTGTAGGGGTGGCCGAGGCAACACCAGAAAGATGGGTCAGGAGGCCTTGACAGTGGCTCAGACCATGGCTAGATCCCGCACGCTTTGGAGGGGATGTGTTGCCAGTGGGTGGAAGATATCACAGAAAGAGGGGAGGCAACTTACATGGCTTGAGCAGCTCAAAGGAAAGGAAGGCTGTGGCGGGAGGAGGTCTGAGATCTTTAGAATAATTTGTGTCAAATGTGGGATATTTAGAAATTAGTATCAATGCTTAATTTATTACCTTAATTGAGTGGTTTCAAGTTGTGCCTTGATTTGCCAGCCATACGTGTTAAGAAACCGCTCAGTGCTAAGCACATTCCTGAATTCCTCATTTCTCTCAATCAGTAAACCTTCATCCCTTAAAGGTAACATCATATTGTTAATTAAGACTGTTTATTTGGCACCTCCATGGAAGCAGAATCATGGCCAAGTGTGGGCATTACGTACACCCAGTCCCCTCCTCAAGGTGTGATGGCCCAGGGCAGAGCAGGGACCTCACCTAGGAGTCCCCCACCTGGGAGAGGCCCGGCCCACCCACTGCAAGTCTTCTCTGAGCCACATTCTCAAGTCTTCTCTGAGCCGCGTTCTCTAGGTTGTGCTACGGGCGTCAGTTAGCGTTTCCTCCAAGCCTGAAATCGTAGTCAGATTCAGAATGGGTTTTTCTAGCTTCCCTCGTAAGATCTTTCCCCTGCTCCTGGCAGGAGCACCACACCATGGGAACCCCAGGGCCCAGGCAGCCTCCTGGGGCTGGGGGACTCTGCCGTGTTTCACACAGGTGGAAAGACGGGTTTACAGAACAGTGGCATGGAGGCGCTGTGGCCTGGCAAGGATTAATGGGGTGGCATCTGGCATTAGCTATCAGGAAGACTTAAGGCTGAAGGGACATCGGGCACAGAGCTCTCGGGGCTGCTCATCCGCCCCCAGGGTGACATCCCCTAGTATCACTTAGGGTGGGACTGAGAGTCACCTGGGGGAGAGGGGAGAAGGGACCCAACTTCCCCAGCCCCTGGCACCTTCCCTGCCTTTCCCAATCTTTCAACAGAGTCCTAACGTGGCCCTTGGCTCTGGGCAGGCCTGTGGCCCTGGGGAGCTCTGGGGTCAGAAGTCAAGGTGCTTTGCATGTCAGGCAGGCTTGACTTCTGCCTATAGAAAGACTGTGGCTGATGGCAAGCGAGGCCTCTTTTCTGGAAAAGTGCCAACAGCTGATAATTTTAGGAACTAATGTTTTGAATGTGAAGTGTGACTTTTTAGAATAAAAAGACAGGAAGCTCTTAGAAACTGCAAGATTCTAAATCTAAGCAGAAGGCTATATTTTACCCTGTGCTTTTCTATAGCTGTTCTCAAAGCATAAACCATTCCAAATTATTTTCAACTAGTGTAATGTGTTCAGCAGAGCTATTTCTGCCTGGGCATTGCCACTCCCTGAGCAGGAGGGTCTCACAGTGAGGTCTGCAGGACTGTAAGTTTGGGGTCTGACTCGCTGGCCACCCTGTGTGGGCTATGGCTGTCTCTGAGAGCGGTACCTGCCCTTTCTCTGCAGGGAGCCAGACGGAGCTGGCTCAGCCATCGGGGGTCCCAGGCCACTAGCCCGCGGCCCGCCTGGCAGCCTTCCAGGTGAAGGTGAGACAGACAAGGCATGACCTGGGGGCCACCCGGCTCCTCATCACAAACGCCACAAACACACACAAATGCCACAAACACAACCCACCCTGATCGAGGACTAAGCAGAGAAAGCAGGGAGAGGACCTAGAGTTACTCAACACTGAGGAAGGAGGCTCTAAGCTTCTACCACGTGCCAGACTCTGTGGCCAGTGCAGCATAAACGTCCTCAGAACAGGCCTTGTCCCAGCCTGGCCCAGCCGGACGTTCCTGGGAAAGGTCACAGGAAGAGCAGGGCCAGGCCCACAGCACTTTTAGAGGCCCATGAAAACGTCTTCATTTCTCTTCAGATCACATACAAAATATGCAAAACCCATTCTGGAGTGCATCTTTTCACTGGCGACCAACCCAGTCCTAAGATAACCTTCTTGATAGTTCTATGGAGGAAGCTGGGAAGGCAGAAGTGACTGCGACCCACAAAAGTCATGATGGAGCCCTGACGTGTGTACACACACACACTACACACACACATACACTGTACACACACACTACACACACCAAACATACACACTCCACACACACCACATACTACACACATGCACACCACACACTACACACAAATACACCACACACACCACACACATACACACCACACACATACCACACACTACACACATACACAACACACACACTACACATACACACCAAAACCACATGCAGACATTCACACAGCACACACACTACACACACAGTACACACATGCACACCACACACACTACACACATATACCATACACACCACACACACATACACACCACACATACACACCCACATGCACACCACACACACAATACACACACACCACACTCACTACACACATACCACACACACTATACCACACACTACACACCACACACAACACACTTATACCAAAGTATACACCACACACACATCATACACACGCTACACCACTCATACCACAAAAATACAGCACATGCCACACTTACATACAGATACCACAAACTCACAACACACATGCTTGCACCAGTATACACACCACACACATCAGGCTCACACACTACACCAGTCACACCACAAACATCCAGACGCGCACACACACCCCACACACAGCACTCCACGGTCAGCCTTCCACCCCAGAAAACCGCTTGTGCAACAGGCTGGATCTACCAGGCACTCCTCACTGTGCGCTCGCCTTCCAGCCCTGGGGCAGACTCTGGTGGTGGGACTGAGGGTTAGAGTCCCCCATCCTAGACCCCCACATCCACTTGTCCTCATGGGGCTGGTGCTCATTTCCCTGGGAAGCCTTAGAGAGTGGACCCAGTTCTTCTGTCCTGGGGCTCTTTTAAGTGCATCCACACTTGGCAATACTGGGGCCCAGTGCACGGTTCATAAAATACAGCCCTTGCACTGCAGGGGCCCGGCACATTCTGCTGTTCTTGTCTATGTAATGACCCAGCGGCCTCCGTCCTGGGGACTGAAATCCTGCCCTTGTCAGCATCCCACAGCTGAGACAGTCCGTGTTCACCAAAGCAGGTGCATTCTCTCTCGGGACACCAGTGGTCTCCATGGGAACGTTGAGGAAGAACATCTCTGCCACCCCCGGTGTGGCCGTGAAGCTACTTTTCCCCTTCCCAGGAGCTGACACTGCAGATGAAGAGACAGCACTGTGATTCCTGGTCCTAATATCTTGGCTTTGTTTGGGTTTTTTCCAGATGACCATTCTAGGGTGATTCTGAGCCAAGTGGATGGAACTCCCTGTTCGGACTACATCAATGCTTCCTACATAGATGTAAGTGGGCAGAGGTTTCCTATTCCCCTAGCCCAGCTGAGGCATGACCAGTGAGCACTTTCTTGTCTGGTGCCAGGAGTGTAAATTGTCACAACCTTTCTGGGCAGTTTGGCCACAAGCACAAAGGGCACAGAACTGCCCATGCTTTACAAGCTAGCATCAGCATCTGGGAATTTGACTTCGAGAGACAGCGATAAGCACAGAGGATGTTCATTGCAGCATTATGTATATTCCTGACCAAATAGAACAGGAAGCATGGGCAGTTAAACAGATTGTGGTAAAACCATGTGCAGTGGATTACTAGAACTCCATTTGTATTGATCTTTAAGAGATCATTTAATATAAATTATAAAATTCTCATTAAAAATACAACATAAAATAAATTGTACATGTTCACCCAATTAGAGGACAGAATGTCTGCATCTCTCTACTTGTGTGTGAGTCTGGGAAAGGTTTTGCAGAAAAACAGACTAGAGAGGGGACGTATGAAATAGGATTTGTTATTTCTGGAATTGCTGGTGAGTTTTCTTTTCTTCTTAACATTTTCCTGTGTTTTACAAATTTTCCATGGTGAATATGTATTGCTTTTCTAACAGCAACAACAAATCCTTTCAGCAAAGATAATTCTGAAAAAATATAAATCTGATGTTATTTTTTCTAGGGTTACAAAGAGAAGAATAAATTCATAGCAGCTCAAGGTAAGCTTTTTATTAATTTCTGAACGTATTTTTGGTAAAATGATGTGAATAGCTCTCATTTCCTTGTCTGTAGGCCAACAAGACCAAGGACTTACATTGGATTTTTGTGCACGTGTTTACACCTAACAGACACGTTAAATATCCATTCACACAACGGATATGTGTAGACAGTCAGAGAAACACACACTTATTCCCACACCTATATGGTGTGAACACAGGGCATGCAGTGGCCCCGGCTGCCATTCCAGCATGTTAATACTTGCATCAGGTAACCTTGAATTTCTCTCAGCTGGCTGAGCCCTACATGGCCCCAAAGTTTGGGGGTGGGTAGTAGGGTGAGTAGCTTTTCAGATCAAGGCCATAACCAAGAAGATACTTCAGCCATGAAAACATGCCCTTCACCTTGCACAGGGCTGGCTCTCCCTTGTGTGTTGAGTACTGAATCCAGCATCACTCCATTCCACCAGAGGTTGTCATCTGCAGGACCTGGTGCACATGCAGTTAGGTATCAGTGGAGCTGAAACCAGATTCCTCAGACTTCCTCACTCTTAGGCCAGGAGTCTTTAGGGCAATGAGCTCTGAAATTCAGCGTGTGTCAAAATCACCTGGGAAGTTGTTAGAAATGCAGAATCTCTAAGAAAAAAGGACACGCATGTGCACATGCAGAGGACATCACGAATGTGCCCAGCTGGAAACCCCAGGAAACCTGACGATCCTGGCTGAAACAGATGAAAGCATGTGTTTCTCTCTTGCCAGCAGACACCCACAGGGAGCCAGGCCAGAGTGGGACAGCAGCAGGGCCAGGGGCTTCCTTATCTCCCGGCCCATCGCCCTCAGCATGAAGCGCTTAGCTCGGGGCTGCAAAATAGCCGCAGCTCAGACAGGAAGTGGACAGGGGCAGAGGACTTTGTCCTAGTGACACTTTGTCTGTTGGTCAGATCCCTTCCCAAGGGACTTTAGCTCATATCGTATTGAACAGCACCATGCTGAGAGTAAGATTTTGACAAAAAGGAGGGGATTGGGAATGCAGCGGGAGGCCGGCCAGTCTCTGCCTCTCCCAAGGCTTTCACCAGCTCTCCCACACTTGGCTGTGGACCCAGCCCTCCTCTGAACCCTGCTTCTTACCTGTGAATGTCATAACTCAACCTGGGCCCAATTATCTTGCCCACTGAGGAGTTCCTAGCTGGAGTGGGTGAGTGGCAGGACAGGCAGCCCCTACCGGTTCTGGAACACTTCAGGGCATGACGTGTGTGTCCCCAACAAGCCTGAGAAGGGAGTGAACAGCTATCCAGGAGCCAATGGCCAGGGTGCCGGGGCTGGGACCCCAAAGCGACTTCCCTTCATGCCTTTTGACTTCAGAATTGTCCTCTACACACAGGCCCCAAACAGGAAACGGTTAACGACTTCTGGAGAATGGTCTGGGAGCAAAAGTCTGCGACCATCGTCATGTTAACGAACTTGAAAGAAAGGAAAGAGGTGAGTTCCAGGCATCTGACCCCGGTATCACTTCCTTTCAGCTGCTGCTGCCGGGCTGGGGATGCTCTTACCACTTCCTCTTCCTACTTCCCTCCCTTCCTCCCACTATCACTGCAGAGAGCACCCAAACACATGCAGTGGCTGACAGTATTTTCATCACGAAACAAATCCCCTGTCTCGCCAGCATCTCACTGTTATCTAATCTGTGATAACACGATGACACAAGAGTTTCCTTTTTTTCCCAAGTAAGAGTGGCCCCCGGCCGGCCCCAGGCTCTGCCTGCCTGGTGGGAGACATGAATCTTAGAAGTTAGAATTTTAGGATGTTGAGCATGTCATGCGGCAGACCTCAGACTAGAAATGAACATGATTTCACGCTTATTATCCAGACTAGAGAAATGCATTTGAAAAACATGGTATATTGAAGAAATGTTGATTTGTCATCCAAATATATTTAATTAGCTGTTTCTAATTCAAAAAAGGATGCATGTACATTATAAGAATTTGAATCATTGACAAAGAAGAAAAGTTGAACTGATTCGTTTCCTAATGTAACAAGTACTCATTAGCATCTGCTGTGCTGGGCCAGCTCTGTCCCAGGTGCAAGGAATGGGGGCTCAAATTCAGGGCTGAGAAGTGGGGGCTGTGGGAAGCCTGTGGCGGGGGGCGGGTGTTGAGTGACAGGCAGGGAGCCATGCCATAGGCAGTGAGCTCACTCTCCAGAATGAAAGAAGAACTGGGAGCCGGAGGGACACTTGCCACAGGTGGGGCGACAATTCGGAGGCTGTGCTTCTGGTGTGTTCTGGCTTGAAGGCTCAGTTCAGCGGCAGCCATGTGTCCTGTCCAGCCCCGCTCAGGGCCTGCTGTGTCCTGAGCTCCTCAGTCATCCGCTGGCCTGGCCCCAGCAGTTCCCAGGCATCATAGTGAGGACTGTGGGGAAGGGCTGCCATTTTTAGATGGGACTGCCAGGCCGAAGGGAACTCAGCTGGGGCAGAAGATGGGTGGCAGGCGCCCACAGGAAGGGCAGGCTGGGAGGTGCTCTGGTCCCCACAGTGCCAGCTTACTAATTGCCACCCAAAACACAGGAAGCAGCCTCCAGCCACCGTTTCTGGTCAGGAATAGGGTGGGGGCTTTCATTCTGCTCTCGGGGGAGCTGAAACACGGCTGCAGCGGGCCACCCCTTTGCCCTTGCAAATCTTGCCTCTGTCATCCTTTGTCATGGGGAAGAGTGACAGAGGGAAGTAGGGGATTCCCAGCACAGGGCTCTTCACCCTGCCTGCGCTGTAGCGGCCATGGAGGAGGACACCCACGCGAGGGAAAAGGAGGCTGACCCTTCTCCAGGAGTCTCCCTGTGACCTGCGGCTCATAGGACTAGTCTTCCTGGGGCTGGTACTCCAAGCATGAGACCAGCACAGAAGCAGTGGGGCTCAAGGACGCCCCTGCCTCCCCCTTTCAGTCATTCTGCTGAAAATGTCACTGGCATTTTCTCTCCATCTTCCTCCATAGCCTCCTACTGGATTTTTCCACTCCTGTGACTCAGTGCTGGGCTGCTGCTGCATCCTGATTCTCACCAATTCAGATGAAATCATTTCTCAATAGAGTTCCCTTTTTCTTAATTGCTCACACTTCTGTTGTGGTTTCCTTGGCTTCCACATCCTGGGCTCTGCATTGCAAAACACAGCTGCCCTGGCATCTCATGATCGGGTGGGAGGGAGGCAGAGGGAGGGGGTATAAAACCAGCCACCAACACTGAGCCCTTGAGAGGCTGAGACACGTTCTCAGTTCCTACTGGAGAGCCTTCCAAGATGAGAAGCTCAGGAGGGTCCCCAGGGCTCCCCATAGGGCCAAGACTTCCCCAAACCGGGACCTGTAGGCATTTGCAGTTCCCCTGGGCTGCATCAGAGATGCCCTGTGACCCGCAGCCCTGCCCGGAGCCAGGAGTAGGGAGGGGGAAGTTGTCCGTGGCCGTCATAACACGATGCTGCTCTCTACTAAATACCAGATGCTGTTTGTTTCATAAGATTGTTAATCCTGAGTCTTGACCATGAGCTGTGCTGCTCAGGGGCCACTCCCTGCACATGCTTTCCGATGATTGGCAGGCTTGTTCCATTCCAGAGATGTTTATCTGGCAGATGAAGTAGATCTTTTCCCCCTTGAGGTGGGTCCTCATTCACTCGTGAAGTCCACGCTGATGGAGGACGCCAACAGGCAGGTGCTGCACACGGTGCCGCAAAATGAAAGGGCTGCTGGAACATGTATTTTGGGTCATTCTTGCTTCAGAGTTTGGGGTAAAGAAATGGGCCTGTCTGTAGCAATGCACCCTTGTGAAGTCCGCTGATGGAGGACACCACCGGGCAGGTGCTGCGGGCGGTGCTGCAAAATGAAAGGGCTCCTGAAACGTGTGTTTTGAGTCATTCTTGCTTCAGAGGTTGGGAAGGTAAAGAAATGGGCCTGTCTGTAGCAATGCACCCTCTTCTGCAGACTCCACGGCAGCCTCGTCCCTGCTAGAGAAAAATGAAGATCATTAGGCCAATCACAGGTTCATCACTCTTGAACGGCAGACGGGCAGTGGTGCAAATTAACTTTGTCCTTAGTGAACTGAGCAGGAAAAACACAAATTGCTGAATCCAGTGGGAAATGCCTGGGGAAGCACCGTCCTTGCCCTCTGGCCTGAGGGTCATTTGGGGTTAGGTACCCAGCTCTGAAGGTTACAGGCTCAGCATGACTGGTTGATGGTCAGTTAATAAAACGTATGGGATTCGTGAATGAATGAAGAAATGAGACATTGTTGGTGTCTACATCAGAAAGCCTTGGGGTGTCCTAGCCATAGTCTCAAGGCTGCCTTTCACCAGTTATGCAGCCTCAGTTTCCCCATTCATGAGGTGGACACACGTGAACTTGCTGTTTCTCAGCTGTGGGAGCTGTGTGACTCCAGCTGGTGTGTGTGAGGCCTTCTGTGGTTGGGTGGAGGGATGTCATGATGCATTGCACCCACAGATCTATTTGCTTCTATTAAATTGTTCCGTGCAGGAAAAGTGCCATCAGTACTGGCCCGACCAAGGCTGCTGGACCTATGGAAACATCCGGGTGTGCGTGGAGGACTGCGTGGTTTTGGTCGACTACACCATCCGGAAGTTCTGTATACAGCCAGTAAGCATCTCTAGTTGCTGACCTTCCAGAAAGATCATTCTCAGCATGATGCCCAGAGTTAACACCCTTCTGTATTTACGAAGTGCTTTGCTCCCACCCCGGCACTGTCGCGGCCCTGGCTCAGAGGGTGCAGTGGCCAGGCTGTGCTGGGCAGACGTGCAAGTGGGCCAAGACACCAGAGGCCGGTGCACAAGGGTCTGCAGGCAGTGCTGGGAGCTCCTAATTCCCAGCGACTCCTCTGGACCTCTCCAGGAAGAAGACCAGTCATTGGAGGGGTCTGGGGTCCTCCCTCAGTAGCACAGTGACATTTCACGCACTGGAACTGGGAGGCGGGGTTTTTTCTAACACGTTTCTAACACGTTTCGAATTATGTCTGAAATGTCCTCGTTATTTTCCACACTTGGGTCCTGCTAGTTCCACCACCCCAAAGGGTTTAAGAGAGAGATGAGTAAAAATATCTGTATACAAAGCAGATGAAATCAAGATGTAGAAGAAAGTTTAAAACCATAGAGAAAAGACAGAAGACCATTTTGTCAGGATTTAAAGATAGAGTGATTGGCATAATTAGGTCACAAAATAAGTGTCTAAGATTCCAAGAAACCACAGCAAAAAAGGAAAAGGATGAGCTGATCATTCTCATTCTATCCCTGCTCACATCTCTCCCAGAAATGTGCACACAGGCATGCACATGCACACACGTACACACAAACTCCCACACACAGGCACACATATGTACACATGCACACACACCCACACACAGGCACACATATGCACACATGCACACCCATACACAGGCATGCACATGCACACATGCACACATACCCACACACAGGTATGCACATGTACACATACTCCCACACATATGCATGCACATGCACACACATAGACCCACACGCACAGAATTGTACACATGCAGTCACACACAATCACATATGTACACACATACACCCCACACACATGCACACATTCACACAAGTGCACACGCACCCACACACATCACACATGCACACATGCACACGTGCACACATGCACACACATTCACACATGTACACATTCACCAACACACATTTTCACATGCACACACGTGCACACATCCACTCACACACATGTGCACACAGCTGCACATATGCACACATTCACACGTGCACACACACCCACACACATACACGCACATTCACACAAATTCACACACATACATATATTCACCCATGTTCACACAAGCACACATGCACACACATTCACACATGTGCACACACACATACATGCACATGGGTGCACACATGCATGCACATTCACACACATGTGCACGTAAACATGCATACATGTGTACACACACATTCACACGTGTGCACATGCATAAACCTACACACATACGCACACACGTGCACACATACACATGCATATGTGCACACACATGCACACGTATCTACTTCCAAATACACTGTGTATCACCTTCCGTGATCTAGGCGAGAGAATTAAACTCATGGTCTCTGGGTCCGAAAGCTGAGACAGCCTCTGAGGGCAAGTCTGGGAGTCTCCAGAGAGCAGGCCGACCGCATCGTCTGTCCTCCCAAATGTCAGACAGCTTTGCACGAGGAAGGATGTGCTGTTGGTGATTACTCAGCACCACAGGCATGGGGTGGGACTGTCCAGGCGAAATGGACCATGACCGCCCACTTGCACGGGGGTCTGTGAGCACGCAGACCAGCTTTGGGGATGAGTCTGGCTGCTTGGGCCCTGCCTGACCTGGGCATGGGCGGTTGCTGCGGGCCCTGCCCTGTGGCCCCAAAACCAGCACGTGTTCCGAGTTGGCAGGGGTGAGGGCCAGGCTGTCTCGCTCGGGCAGGCCCCCTGTACATGGGCCCCTCCCCCATGCAGCCCCAGCACAGGGGAGCCCACCGCATCCTCAGAATGAGATGCTGGGGAAGTGGGGGGGGATTGCTGTACCCACTCTCATCTCCCCATGTCCCCCGCAGCAGCTCCCCGACGGCTGCAAAGCTCCCAGGCTGGTCTCACAGCTGCACTTCACCAGCTGGCCCGACTTCGGAGTGCCTTTTACCCCCATTGGGATGCTGAAGTTCCTCAAGAAAGTAAAGACGCTCAACCCCGTGCACGCTGGACCCATCGTGGTCCACTGTAGGTACGCTGGGGGGCCACGGGGCGGGACCCTCAAGGGCAGGCCACAGTGGGAGGACTCACCCTCATATGGGCAATGCCAGGGGACCAATATCAGGGTGGGCAGAGGTTTGGGCAGGGCTGATGTGAACACAAATGTCAGTGACTGAGCCAGGCCCCAAGAACCCTACAGGAGAATGCTCAGAGAGCTCCCTCTTCATCCCAGCCGATAAAACCCACCAAAGCCAAGGGGCTCCGGTTGATGGTGGGAATGGAGTTCTGGGCGGTTCTTCTTGGCCGCCCTCACCTCTTCCTGGGAATCCCAAGTCACCTCTGGGAACCAAGATGGAAACCAGGGAAACTAGGCTTCTGCAGGAAGCCCCCCAACAACGCACAAGTCCTTATGGAAGAGCACACCACGACTCGGACTGGCCCCCACAGCAGAGTCCTCCAGACCACGCTGTCCTGGAGACCAGGGTCTGAGGACCAGGCTGCCCTTTGCCAGCTGCCACTTCATCCTCGGTTTCCTCGCCTGTGATAGGAAGGACAGCCTTGGAGGCCTGTGACTTGCATCTGGGTGGGCTTTGCACAACACGAAAAATTACTCAAATGTACAGCCAGGGCCACGCCACAGCCCCCTGTCCACAGAGAGCCCCACTTGTTCCTGGCAGTGATTGGCCTCACCAGGGTATCACTTTGATTAGATACTAAGTGTCCAGCTGTTACAGACAGATTCATCCTGAGTATCACAGCACTGCCAGGGACAAAAGCCACCTGCACGCAGTGATGCAGGCGCTCTGCACCTGTCATGCAGCTGTTCAGGAGAAGCTGTCCAGGAACCCTGGCAGAATGGGCTTTCCCCAAGTCTGAGCAACACTCCCTTGCTGGGGCCAAGCAGAGGCTGGACCCCACCCCACCCCCCCTCCAGTGTAGCCCATACTGGGAGGAATCTGCAGGCTCAGAGAACAGTAATCTGACAGATGCCGCCCCATTTAATGCCCCGAGTCAGGGGACGTGGTTTGCCCGGTTTGACAGAGGGGGAGGCTGGATCCCAGAGCTGTTGCATAGTTGATCTGAGGTCCCCTCTGCTCCCAAGGGGGCAGATCTAGGATGCCAATCACACATATAAGAAGAAGACACTGTTTAGTAAATGAGAAAAATTCTCCGCACAGCCTAATCCGGGGCTTACTGCACCAGCTGTTAATGTGCCTCTTAGTAGAGTGTTCGTGGTTGTCAGAGGATCGGCCTGAGATCACTTTACTGAGACCGCAGCTCCCTCTGGTGGCCTCACTATGGCTTTGCTCCTAATTAACCAAAACAAAAAAGTTACATCGAGTGACCTGGGTGCGCAGACATCTTGGGACCTGTCATTTACTTCGGGAGGAGTGTGACTCACGACGCAGCATCTTTCTCTTTCCCCAAAGCGCGGGCGTGGGCCGGACGGGCACCTTCATTGTGATCGATGCCATGATGGCCATGATGCACGCAGAGCAGAAGGTGGATGTGTTTGAATTTGTGTCTCGAATCCGTAATCAGCGCCCTCAGATGGTTCAAACGGATGTGAGTCATGCCTTCCTCTTGCCTTGGTCTAGCCTCCCAAAGCAAACCCAGATGCCTTGGCCACACAGGCGTACAGGGCCCTGGCTCTGATGGGCACGTGGCAACCAGCCTGGGTCTGGTCTGGCTTCCCTCCCCATAGCTTTCCCTGCCCATGCGTAGGACCTTGGGGACTCCCTCATCCTCATCTTTCCCTTGTATCCTCATGGGAGATGGGGCAATCCTACTCCCCCAAATGGCTCGTGTACACAGTACCTGGCATTCTCACCAATGTGAGGCTCTGCTGCTACCGTTCTCCTTACTCAAGGGCATAAGTGGTCATTATCCGTGGCCGGTACTCTGCCTCTTGCCCCACACCTCCTTGTGTTGGCAAAAAGAGAAAAAGAAGAGAGCCGCCCCCTTTGGTCTGCCAAGCTCCACGCGGGCCAAGGCTGCAGGGCAGCGTTGAGGATGTGGTCACCCCGGCCTCTCTGCAGATGCAGTACACGTTCATCTACCAAGCCTTACTCGAGTACTACCTCTATGGAGACACAGAGCTGGACGTGTCCTCCCTGGAGAAGCACCTGCAGACCGTGCATGGCACCACCACCCACTTCGACAAGATCGGGCTGGAGGAGGAGTTCAGGGTGAGTATGGCTGACCCTCCTTTCCATTCTGGTGTAAGCAGCCAAGGACACAGAGAAAACAGGTGACCATTTAAAGGAAGCCTCTTTCAATCACTTTCCCTCTTAACTGACCCTCAGAAAAAGCAGGGGCAATATCCGAGCCGTGATTTACAAGGGAAGACAGATCAGGTGGCTTTCAGAGCTTCACAGCAGCCCTGCCGGGCACACGTTTCTATTTCCCAGTGCTAAGGAGGCTTCCTGGGGTGGAGAGCGATGTTTCCTTTGAGCAGGTGCCCTTGCCAGCAGCGCTAGTCCTCGACTGAGCAATGTGCTCAGGAGTGTCAGAGGTTTAACTGTGTCATTATGTCCTTCTCTGCTGCAGAAATTGACAAATGTCCGGATCATGAAGGAGAACATGAGGACGGGCAACTTGCCGGCAAACATGAAGAAGGCCAGGGTCATCCAGATCATCCCGTGTAAGGCACCCGTGGCATGGCTGGGGCGGGACTGGGGTTGGGCTGGTGCCAGAGGCTTTTATCCCGGAGGAGCCATTCGCCACTTACCCCTGTGCACCAGGTTCAACAGCAGGGTGCGGACAGGCGCAGTAGCTCACACCTGTAATCCCAGCACTTTGGGAGGCCGAGGCGGGCGGATCACGAGGTCAGGAGATGGAGACCATCCTGGCTAACACAGTGAAACCCCGTCTCTACTAAAAATACAAAAAATTAGCCGGACGTGGTGGCGGGTGCCTGTAGTCCCAGCTACTCGAGAGGCTGAGACAGGAGAACGGCGTGAACCCGGGAGGCGGAGCTTGCAATGAGCCGAGATCCGGCCACTGCACTCTGGCCTGGGCAACAAAGCGAGACTCCATGTCAAAAAAAAAGAAAAAGAGCAGGGTGTCGTCTGGCCCCAGGCTAAGGGCTCCTGTGTGCCGTGTCAGGTAGAAAAGACACCCGTGAAGCACCAGCTGACCCAAACAGTCCTGCTCTGGTCTCAGGCAAGCCGCTTAGGACATGAGCTTGCAAGTGCGGGAGGGCAGCTGGGACTGGATTGCAGACGAGGGTTTCACAGAAGCTGGAGATTTGCTGCAGGCACGACTTGGTGCCTTAGGATTCCTTGTCTCATTCCTTATCTCCCCAAGCCTGGGCAGAGGCCCACCTCCCCCTTACACAGAGGGGCCTGAGCCACCTGGCCAAGGCCATGCAAGCGAACTCAGCTGAGACCATCTAGGAAAAGGCTGTGGCCTTGAGGAGGACAAGAAATGGGCCCAGGGTGGAGTCAGGACACTGGTCTGCCGCCCAGGTCATGGGAGAGGGAAGGGGGGCCTGGCAGGTGCAGGAGGAGAGGAGGCAAAGCTGGCAAGAAGACAGGGCCACACATAGTGGGCAGCGGGAGAGTCAGGAGGCTCACCAAGTGGGAAAAAGAGAAACCTGAGAAACCCGGCCCGAAAGCAGACTCCACAGGGATCCGAGGAACTAGAGAGGGAGAGGGGAGATGCTCCGCTTAGGACGAGGGTGTGTCTCATTATAGACATCTCCTGGATGGAGTCACAGCTCAACGAACACCAGCTAGAGACAGCTGTGAGCAGGCCTGCTGCAGCAGGGTCCCCCGAAGCACTGTAGGCGAGTAGAGCTCCCAGGGGCCCTGCCATCTTCAGACTCTGGCCCCTGGTCTTCTGGAGCCCCGGTGTCCTGCTGGCCACCCTAGGTTGCTTGCTTAGCCACATTCCATTTACTCCTTCAGTGCAATATTTTTAGTGCTTGTATTTTGGTATGTATTACATCGATTCCTGAAAAATGAAAATGATAATTGGGTTGTTTTCAGGGTTTTCCTTCAAAAAGAAAAATACCCCTGAGCCCCTTTGATTATCCTCTTTCATAATGTAAACTCTCCCAAGAGTTGGCTTTACCTAGTGATTTTATTAATCGGCTCTATATTTTGCAAGCTTGTAGCAACGGATTAAAGTTACCAAGGTGGGACCCTTTTTGTAATAACTAAAGGAAGATACTGCTTTGCAGATGACTTCAACCGAGTGATCCTTTCCATGAAAAGGGGTCAAGAATACACAGACTACATCAACGCATCCTTCATAGATGTAAGTATGCTGGCCTGGGTTGTGTTGATGCAGATGTGTTACCTTCACACGTGACCACACAGACTTGATTAGCTTGTTTTCACAATGAGAAAGAATTGACATGTTTCCAGAAACTCAACCATTTTTGTTAGCAGAATTACTTTCTTAAAAGAAAAAAAAAAAAAAAGTGGCGAGGCACGATGGCTCACGCCTGTAATCCCAACACTTTGGGAAGCTGAGGCAGGCAGATCACTTGGGGTCAGGAGTTTGAAACCAGCCTGGCCAATCTGGCAAAACCTGTCTCTACTAAAAATACAAAAATTAGCTGGGCATGGTGGCAGGTGCCTGTAATCCCAGCTACTCAGGAAGCTGAGGCAGGAGAATTACTTGAATCCGGGAGGCTGAGGTTGCAGTGAGCCGAGATCGTGCCACTGTACTCCAGCCTGGGCAACAGAGCGAGACTCCTTCTCAAAAAAAAAAAGTGGACTTTGGAAATGGAAGGACATAGACTCGCTGCTAAGTAATTGGCTCTTTTTTCATTCTGCTTTGAATATATAGTTATTTTTCTTTTACATATCTGTTACATACCAGTTATACATCCATTGCCTCTGTGCTCTTTCTCTTGTGTGATTTCTGCAATGTGTACTCACACGGACAATACAATTATGTGTTCAGGGCACACAGACAGAGGCTGTCTTCATGCACAGTGGAGTTCGCAGAAGAAGGGCAAAAGGGGGAATTGCAGCCAAGTGTATGTTAATATTGCCATTTTCAGATGAGAAAATTGTGCCAGAATCCAGGGGACTCCATGCTGATCTAGCTGAAACACACAGAAACGTGTCAGAATCTAAGCCACCAGGTGCTGTTCAGATGGCCGCAGGCGACTACCAGTTCATAATACCCATTTGTTGATGACCTCAGGGGCTGATGGTGACGGTTATGGTTTCAGATAAGCGAGCCTCTTGACCTGCTTGTCAGGTGTGTGCCTGAGTGCTCGTGCCAGCTGGGGTCTGGTGCCAACCATGGAAGATGGGAGAGTTTTCCTCATTAGGCCTTAGGCTGTCCTAAACTTAGGGAACAGGTAATGGAGCCAGGATGGAAGGAAGCTGGACGTTAACCTCTGCGCCTCCATTTGAAGGGCTACCGACAGAAGGACTATTTCATCGCCACCCAGGGGCCACTGGCACACACGGTTGAGGACTTCTGGAGGATGATCTGGGAATGGAAATCCCACACGATCGTGATGCTGACGGAAGTGCAGGAGAGAGAGCAGGTGAGGGGTGCCGCCCTGTCCCAGCCCTCCAGGGGCAGCCTGTGCACCTGAGGCACTGTCGCCATTCATTACAAATGTCCCACCCACCTTCAGTGCAAACACATGGGTGAGACCAAGCCAGGACCACTAGGGAGGGAGAGAGGTTGGAAATGAAAAAGGTTTCATTTCACCCTTTCCGTTTTTGGGAGTGAGGTTTAACCATAGCTACCCGTTGCCCTTTATTCTTAGCCTACATGTTATTTAGCCTGCCCTGAAATTTTGCCATTTGGTATTGGCCAAGATTATAACCTGTTGAAGAAAAAGACATTTATTGGCTTTTTTCAAGACATGAAGACATAGGCACTGATATGTGTGCCTAATGGATATTGTCCTAGTAAATTGAATGAGTTAACTCTTCCTTCTTACAGAGATCCACCCCGGCCTTCTTGTATTACATTTATTTACTAACATAATAAACACTCGTGAACTCACCACCCAACAGTAAACCCAAGGTTTTACCAACAATGTACATCTATCTGGGTGCTCCCCCAAGACATACTTACTGCTGTGTATTTGTGTTTTTATTCCTTTGCTCTAAAAAGGAACAGCTTTACTGTCATATAATTCACCTATAATTCGTGCAATTCATCTTTTTAAAGGGTGCAATTCAGTGAATTGTAGTATATTCACAAAGTTGTACAACCATCACCACTATCTAATTTGAGATCATTTTCATCAACCCAAAAGGAAACCTTGTGCCATTAGGAGTCACTCCCCATTCTTTCCTTTCCCTAGCCCCTGGCAACCACTAATCTGCTTCCTGACTATGGGTTTGTCTGTTCTGGACATTATTATAAGTGGAATCATACAGTATGTGGTCTTTTGTGATTGGGTTCTTTCACGGAGCATCATGCTTTCAAGGTTCATCCATGTTGTAGCATGAATCAGTAAATCATTCTTTTTTATTGACAAGCAGTATTCCCTTGTGTGGCTATACTACATTCTGTGTATCCAGTCATCAGCTTATGGATATTTAGGTTGTTTCCACTTTGGAGCTATTATAAATAACACTGCTTGGCTGGGTGCGGTGGCTCACACCTGTAATTCCAACCCTTTGGGAGGCCTAGGTGGGCAGATTACGTGAGGTCAGGAGTTCGTGACCAGCCTGGCCAACATGGCAAAACCCCATCTCTACTAAAAATACAAAAAGTAGCTGGGTGTTGTGGCGGGAACCTGCAATCCCAGCTTCTTGGGAGGCTGAGGCAGGGAGAGTCGCTTGAACCTGGGAGGCAGAGGTTGCATTGAGCTGAGATCACGCCATTGTACTCCAGCCTACGTGACAGAACGAGACTCCATCTCAAAAAAAAAAAAATTGCTGCTTGAACATTCAGGTGGTAGTTTTTGTATGGACACGCTTTTTCATTTCCCTTGGGTATATACCTAGGAGTGTATATACTAGGAGTGGAATTGCTAGGTCACCTCATAACTCTATGTCATAAACTTACTGTTTAACATTTTTGAGGACCTGCCAGGCTGTTTTCCACAGTAGCTGCCCCATTTTCCATTCCCACCAGCAATATATAAGGTTCTAATTTCTCCACATCCTCACCAACATTGTGATTGTCTTTTTGATTAAAGCCATCCTAGTGGATATGTTCTTTGCTTTTTAAAAAAATATTTTTAAATCACATCTATTTATGCCTACAGAGACTGTTGTTTAGTTTTACTTGTGTTTGAACTTTATATAAAGAGCATCATTACAGCATGTTGTCTTCTGAGACTTGCTTCTTCCACTCAAACCTGTGCTTCTGATATTGTTTTATGTTGATGCTTATGCTGCGGTTCATTCGTCATCATCATTTCATTATATTCCACCGCACAAACTATATCCTGCATTAGCTCACATATTCCTTCTCCTGTCATGGACACTTGAGTTGATTTCATTTCATTGTTTTACAAACAGTGCTACCTGTACATTCTTTTTTTTAAACTTTAAGTTCTGGATACAAGTGCAGAATGTGTAGTTTTGTTACATAGGTATACATGCGCATGGTTGTTTGCTGCACCTGTCAGCACGTCATCTAGGTTTTCAGCCCTGCATGCATTAGCTATTTGTCCTAAGGCTCTCCCTCCCCTCACCCTCCACCCCACAACTGGCCCCAGTGTGTGTTGTTCTCCTCCCTGTGTCTGTCTGTTCTCCCTACCTGTATATTCTTGTACATGTCTTATGCTGCACTGGGACTAAGATGTATCAAAGAGCCAAAATGCTTCATTGAAGAGTATGTGAAAGTTTGAATTTGCAAGATAATTCCTAATTGCTTTTCAAAGTGGACATCAGCAATGTATAAGAGATATCATTCATCTGCATACCTAGTATGGTATTCTCAAGGTGTCCTAATGATTGTTAATTGAAAATTAACAAAATATTGTTCATTGTGTAATTATTGTGTAAATATTTTCTTTTTGTGGCTCTGATTTGCATCTTTCTGATTCCTACAAGGTCAACCCCATCACTTCATATATTTGTGGATGACATATTTCCTCTTGTGTCAAATGCCTGTTCCTGCCTTTCACTGATTTTTCTATGGGGTTATTTGTCCTTTCTTATTGATTTATAGGAGCTCTTTACATAATCTTGATACTAATTCTTTACTGGTTTTATATATTGCAAACATCTTATTGCAATCTGTGGCCTGTCTTTTCACTCTTTTAATGATGTTTGTTGATGAAGAAAAGTGAATTTTACTGTAATCCAATGTTTCAAATTGTTCCATCACGATTGGTTAGCTGTTTGGGCTCTTGTCTAGTAATCCTTGTGTATCTCAAAGTGAAATGATGTTTCTTCTTCCAAGACTTTCACAGTTTTGTTTTTCACCTTAAACCTTAATCCATCTGGGCTTATTTTTATTAAGGTTCAAGGCCACTACACGTGGAAGTGCAGGGTGTACACTGCTCAGTTCTAGGAAGAGCTGGGGACACTCACATCAGCCCTGGTAGAGTATGAGTCAGGGATCCAATTTCATTTTCCCCAGGTAGAAAACCAATTTATCCAGCCCCATTTATTAAAGAATCTCTCCTTTCTGCCATATGTTAAGGTTTCATATACATGTGTGTCTGTTTCTAGACTCTGTTCTGTTCCCTGGGTCAACAAGCATTAAAACGCATTTATATTCATATTCATATTTTTTTTTGGTCAGATGAAATACATTAACTGGTTTGAGAATAATTCTGCATTATAAACTCAAAATCGCCAGCAGCAAATTATTTATTATAAGACTTACATTTTTATTTTATCCCCTAAGGATAAATGCTACCAGTATTGGCCAACCGAGGGCTCAGTTACTCATGGAGAAATAACGATAGAGATAAAGAATGATACCCTTTCAGAAGCCATCAGTATACGAGACTTCCTGGTCACTTTCAATCAGGTATTGTTGAACTAGCTCTTTAAACCCTTGTGAATTTAGTGAACCACACCCTCCCTCCTGGTTCTGCTTGTCATTGAACCAGAATGTGGCCCTGCACCTGTCCTTTTCCTTCACATAGTCCCATCGGCTGTGAATGGCCAATGGGTTTCAGAGACAGTGGCAGGCCTCCTGTACAATTCTCATCTCCCTGGCCGCCTACCTCCCATTTATCTCTCAGGAGAATCACATTAGCCATTAGTTGGGGGAGGAGGAACAAAGGGGACTAATGAAGCCACAGGGGCCTCTCTGGGGCTCTCCTCCAGGTGCCTTCTCAGAGCCACCCAATTGTCCCCATTTCCACTGGGTCCTTGGTTCTGCTCACCCTCTCTCCTTGGCGAAGAATGAGAACTCGGGGTCAGCCATGGGTAGGATGACTCACTTGTGCACAAGACTTGATGCTGAGCTCCAAACGGTCAGTACCATGAAATGCACCTGCACTGTCTCCTCCATGCCAGCCACAGAGCCACCCCGGCCGCCAGACTCAGATGCTGCTCCTTTGAGCTTTGAAGGGAAAGGCTGGACCCTGCCTTCTTGAGAAAGTGATTCCCTTCTCTCCAGCAGAGCTACCAAGGATCCCGTAGGGGTTGGGCCATCCTCGAAGGGCTCCAGGGGATGTGCTCTGGTCGGCTTGCTCCGCCTCGCAGAAGGAAGCACAGCCAACCACTTGCCTTCTTCTTTAGGGCAAGCAGTTTTCAGCCTTCTCCTTCAGGCTGCCTCGATGGGGATGCTGGCAGCACAGAAGGCTCAGGGAGGGCTCCCAGCCTTGGCCAATCCCTGAGAGGGCAGGTGGGGCTGGGGCCTGTTCCCCAGCAAGCAGGCAGCGCTGAGACCCCCTCTCCTCCCTGCAGCCCCAGGCCCGCCAGGAGGAGCAGGTCCGAGTGGTGCGCCAGTTTCACTTCCACGGCTGGCCTGAGATCGGGATTCCCGCCGAGGGCAAAGGCATGATCGACCTCATCGCAGCGGTGCAGAAGCAGCAGCAGCAGACGGGCAACCACCCCATCACCGTGCACTGCAGGTGAGCCCCCAGCCCGAAGCCCCCCAGGTGGGGTGGACACAGGCTACATGTCCCCAGTACCCGCAGCTGTGGACAGCAGAACCTTGTCGCTGCCCCAGCCATGGTATTCCCTAGAGTCCCCTCTCTACCTCTCCTTACACACATGCACACACGGCCTCACTTAAGTACATACATGTCATCGTATCATACATAAGATGCATACATGTCATCTTAACATACATGCAGAATGCACTTCAGAGGGAGGAGTTGGGAAACCACTCAAACACACATTTCCATGTGCTTTTGAAGTCATCAAAAATTGCCAGGCAGAGCTCGGAGGAGCACACTCCCAGACTTCAAGTTCCTGGGCAGGTTTTGAGAGACTGCCTGGCTGGGCTGCTGTGCCTACACCCGCCCTCTCCCGTTGGCTGGGATTCCTGGCCATATGAGGAGTCCCAGCTGGGATTGTAGCCACGCTGGTCCTGTAGCCTCAGCCTGGCTCCCAAGTCAGGCCCAAAGGCAGAGGGACACCCAGGGCACGTGGGACACCACTTAATCCGCAGATGAAGGCGTGAAACACAGCATTCCTGAGGGCAGATGCACAAATCTGGCCAAGCCCACGGGCCGCCCACTCGCCTGCCTTCTGTGCCTCTGTGGTTCTGATCCTGCTGTACACTTCTGCTGGCAGGGACCTTGACACCTGGCAAGGTTCTTCCAAGCAGGAGCTTGGAGTGTTCTATCCTTAGGTGGTGCTAATGTGCTCCTAAAACTGCAGTTCCATTTCTTGTCTCATACCAGTGGTGCCCACCCTTTGTGACTGCCTTTCACCCCCACCCACTGTCCCACCCCTTATAGCTGGCAGAGCTCTCTCCCTGCCTGGACCTCGCCGGGGTGCACTCCTGGCCTGGCCAGTAGGTGGAGCACACACCTCGGTTTTTGGTTTTCCTGGCGCCTTCCAAGTAGTCATTTAGGATAAACTCGAAATGAGTTCCATGGGGCACAAGAGATGCAGAGGTGTACAAGATCCCACCTGTGGGAAGGCAGATGTGGGACCGATCATTGCGGCAGGTCAGAGGCCTTGGAATAAGCCCACACGTGAGATTATGGAGCATGGAGGGCAGCCCGGCGTCTCCGGAAGACCTGCTGGACGAGGCCGGTCCACCCCACCTCCTCCAGCCCAGTACACCCGCGCTCTCCTACCGGGACCTGGGCTGTGCTCTTGTGGGGTTTGTCAGCAAATGACCATGGTAAATGGAGGTGACTCAAATCGGCCTTGCTGGGAAGTGTCAGTTGACTGTTTCTGCTTGTGAATGTCCTTAAACTGCCCCCCCCTTTCAGCATCACCGACACCCCCGGCACAGTAAGGAGGGGGTATGCCAGGATTACCTGTCCCTAGACCTGAGCTGGGAGGGTTTGCATTTCTGACAAGTTCCCAGGTGCCAACCATGCTGCTGGTCCAGGGACCACACTTTGAGAACCATTGCCCTACACAAGGAAGAGGGGAAATGGTGACACTTGCTTAAAAACTTGTCACTGGTCCTGACTCATTTTATAAAATATTGGTCTACTGTAATTAGGGAGGTGTTTTAGGAATTTTACGTTTGCTAAATCTTGCTCAGAAGCTAAGCTACATACAAATGATCTAAAAAAAATTCAGTCAAACTGAGATCATTTTCAGCGATTGTTGCTTCAGTGCTGATATGCAGGGGTTGGTTGTCAGCTCTCTGTTTCTCATCCCCAAGTGCAAGTCGGATGATCTGCATTAAGCACTTTTTCTCTGCAGTGCCGGAGCTGGGCGAACAGGTACATTCATAGCTCTCAGCAACATTTTGGAGCGAGTAAAAGCCGAGGGACTTTTAGATGTATTTCAAGCTGTGAAGAGTTTACGACTTCAGAGACCACATATGGTGCAAACCCTGGTAAGAATCTGAATAAGGATGTTACCAGAAGAGTGGAGAATTATTTCATGTTGTATTTGATACATATTTCATTAAAGGACCTTAAGTACATGGGGGAGGTGGGAAGGTAAAATTCCCAGGGAAAAGGGCCAGCTGCAATGTTTCGCAGTAAACCTCTGCAGAGCCCTCCTTCCTTGGGTTCTGTAACTTGGGTGTCTTCTGGGCAAGACCCAGGAGGAGGGGCCTGTCCACCAGTTTCAATGTCTGAGACCACTTGGAGAGACGCACTGAGGATAGGAGCTTTTGTGTCAAAGTGAACCATTCTGCGAGATTCCTGTGTGCACTGAAAAACATACTCTTATCAAGTTCAGAAGCAGCACTGAAATTTAAAATCCTGGTACCTCTCATTTCAATGTTATACTCGTCCATGTGGCTTATTTTCCCTGCCTGGGTCTCACTCAACCTCAGATACTGTCCAGGGGCTGCAGGAATCCCTCTAATGTATGAATACTTTTCCCCGTACATTCGCTTTCATTTCAAGGACTCCTGCTTTCTGGTTTTCAGAAGCGATTCCTCCTCACCAAATACGACTATAGTTCCTGCCACTCACCCAGCGAGTACAATTTTAAAGCCTGTTACAACGCATCCTTTTCCCCAAAGCTTCCCACTTCAGACTTGTCCTCCCTGCCTGCTCACTCTCCACGCTAACAATCCTGGCTCACCCAAGCCCCTGTGCATAGAGAGGAGGGAAGGAGGCCCTTCCACACCCACCTCACAGCAAAGCACAGCGGGAGTGAGGACACCTGAGCTGAGGGCGGGTCTGTCCATCCACACCCCGATTGGGCTAGAGCGCGGTTCTCCACCTTGATTGCACAGGAGACCCACCTGGGCACGTTTACCGTCTTCCATTGTCCAAGCCGCCCTCAAACCAATTAGGTGGAATCTCTGGGGGTGGGATCCCTATATTGAAAGACACCCCCTACAATGTGGTCTCAAAATGAATACAGGTTTGAGAGCCAGTGGACTAGAAAGCTGGGTGCCTCCTGGGTCCCTCTCCCTCCTAAGTCTCTGCCGTCTGTGCCGGGATGGATACCTGGGTGGCTGAAAAAGATGGGAGAAGCAAGGCACCTAGGGCTCTCCTGCTGGTCCCGGAGCCCTGGCCCCAGCACTGCCAGTCCTTGAGGGCTCTGGGAAGAGGCTGGAGGCCTGATTCATGCCTCCTGGAGGTCATGCCTGCCTCTGATAGTCCACGCTGCAGAAATACACAAACTACAACAGTTTTGCAAGTGGACAAAGTGACAGACCATGCCCAAGAGAGGTTTTAAATCAAAATAACAATAGTAATTAATAAACACTTAACAGGAGTCCCGGTGCAGTGGCTCACGCCCATAATCCCAGAACTTTGGGAGGCCGAGGAGGGCGGATCACTTGATCTCAGAGTTCGAGACCAGCCTGGGCAACATGGTGAAACCCTGTCTCTACTAAACATACAAAAATTAGCTGGGCATGGTGGCACATGCATGTAACTCCAGCTACTTAGGAGGCTGAGGCAGGAGAACTGCTTGAGCCAGGGTGGTAGAGGTTGCAGTGAGCCAAGATCGCGCCACTGCACTCCAGCCTGGGCAGCAGAGTGAGACTCCATCTCAAAAAAAATAAAAAAAATAAATTAATTAATTAAATAAAAAAGACTTAACAAGAACCCCTCAAAAAGAAATCCAGTTTTGAAACTATGAGCCAGACTCTCTGGTTTCTTTCCTGTTGTTAATTTTACGCAGGATTCCCCAGAGACAGCAGGTGTCCCTGCAGAGATTCGGCTTCCACTGTCCTCCAGATTCACAGCTGGACTCCCTCGGGGCTCTGTGAACTTGGACAAGCTCCTTCCACTTTCTGGGCTTCAGTTCCTTTCTGTGGAAAATAGGGGTGATGGTGTGTTAGAATGGTTAGATGGTGTGTTAGAATCACTGTGTGAAATTTGCTTTAAGTACATCAGGGGCTCTACTAGTGCCTGGCCTCTGGGACGTGCCCAACGACCTGTAGCAAAGACCATCTCTCTAAGCGGCAGCATACAGCGTTTCCCTAGTCTTTTTGGGGACTCACAGCTCTCATTAATCTGCCTGGTCTGGTCAATATATTCTATTTTCGAGACCATCTAGCCTCCAGGTGTCCTCCCGTCTCAGCTCTGCTCTTCCTGACCCCAGCTTGCCCCTCCATGCTCCCTGACTGGGAAGCTGCCCTCAGATGTTGTGTGGCTGTCACCTGTGCTCTCTTGCCTGGTAACAGCTTGACAGAGCACTTTGCAACCTGACTTTTAGAGTCAGGGTCTAGTCCAATGCCCAGCCCATGGTGAGGGCTCCAGAGCAAGTGGTGAATCAGCAAACGAATGAAGGAGAAGTGAGTCACTAAATAACCGTCAGGTGTTGGGTGCAGTGCAACCAGGTGCCTGACAGACGTCTTTCTCATTTCATCTTCACCAGCTGCTTGCCCTTGTGCCTGCTTCTGTTCACAAGGAGTGTTCTGCAGGCACCTCCAGTTAGGACGGTTGAGAAGCCTGCCCGAGATTTTCAAGTATTAAGTGTCAGAATGAGATTCAAACTCTATCTGACTCCAGAAGGGAAGGGCTTAACTAGTACTCTATGCTGCCAGACCTCACATTTGGCAGGGATATTTTGGCAAAAAAAAACACAGGCGCAAAAACATCTTTGAATAAAGAGATGATGGCTGACATGCAGGTTGATTTAGCCCTGCAGGTGGGCACAGTGGCCCCAGAACCAGTTTCCAATTGCTGAGCACTCAGGGAAGACTTGCTTCCAGCATCCTAGGTAGGCTTTGGTTGGAACTGACATTCCAAAGGCCGCAAGTACATCTGTTTTCCTGGAGTCTGTGGCTTGACCAGAAATGTCTGTCTGTGACCTGAGGTGTGGCTTGTATCATCCCAGCACACTCCAAAGTACACTTCATCCATCACTGGCCCCAGTCACTTGTACTCAAGACAACATGGGATGGTCAGCAGTTAGCTGCTGTGTTTGCTGTGAAAACAGAGTAATTAGTGATCATCTCCATTTCCATCCCAGACTGAGCCAGCTTTGATATTCAGTCGATGTTGTTTTAAGTTGATATTCGGTTGATGTTGCTTTAAGTTGGAAAAGTCGATGTTGCTTTAAGCTGTTTGCCTCTTTAAAGAGAGCCTGTATATTTATTGAGAATTCCTTCTAGGAATTCAATTCCTTTTCCTTCTGAAGGCTGGGTGATCAGCTGCGTGTCTTAGGAGCCAGAAGTGAGGACCCTACAATCTGGTCTTGGCTCCTCCAACAACTTCATGCAAATTTAGGAGCAAAGTTTCAGGCTCACCTTTTCCTTCTCTGGAAAACCCAGGTCCTTCCCATCCTGGCCAGACCGGGACTCAGGAAGGGCTAAGCTAGCTGTTTGGCGTCTTTCCATCCAAAAGCATTTAGATATTTGTTCACCGTGTGCTAAGAAGAGCCCAAGTCGAATGTGTTGGAAAGAAGCAGGGAGGTGCTGAGGACAGCTCTTGGCCTCTCCAGTTTCCCAAGCCCCTATCCCAGCCCCAAGCTCAAATATCTCACCCAGAGGTCTGGGAGGACCAGCCTATATATAAAACAATGTCCTTCTTGCATAGTAAATTTAGGCTTTAAAATAATCTAGATGTGCATTTTATTTAACTTTTATAGATTACTTTCTTACTTTATGAAATTTATCTGGCAATGTTAGTACTCTGATTTTTTTTTTTTTTCTCTTTCTCTCTCTTTTTTTGAGACAGGGTCTCACTCTGTTACTTAGGCTGGAGTGCAGAGGTGCAGTGGCACAATCTTGGCTCACTGCAATCTGCCTCCTGGGCTCAAGGAATCCTCCCATCTCGGCTTCCCGGGTAGCTGGGACTACGGGTGTGCACCACTATGCCCAGCTAATTTTTCTATCTTTTTTGATAGAGATGGGGTTTCACCATGTTGCCCAGGCTGGTCTGAAACTCCTGGGCTCAAGTGATCCTCCTGCCTCAGGCTCTGAAAGTGCTAATATTACAGACGTTGAGTCATTGCACCTGGCCTGGTTCTTTTTTTTTTTTCAATTCAAAAATAGTTGTTTTCCAGTTTCAATGTGAAAGCTACAGACATTTTACTCAGTCCATTAAATACACTAACTTGAAATGTTAATATACTGACACATTCGATGTAGGAACATAGCTTTATTTGGAATTCTGTATGTGCCTAAAAACCAATTATGATGTGCATAAAGGTATATGGTATTTTAATGAATAGTCACACTTATTGATGCCTTGTTTTTGACTATCTCTCCTGATTAAATTAATCAAATATATTTTTGGGAATAACATTTTAATGTGTCCTTGTTTGTCTTTTCAGGAACAGTATGAATTCTGCTACAAAGTGGTACAAGATTTTATTGATATATTTTCTGATTATGCTAATTTCAAATGAAGATTCCTGCCTTAAAATATTTTTTAATTTAATGGTCAGTATATTTTATAAAAATCATGTTAATTTATTTCATAGTTGACATTAATATCTTCCCTAATTTCTTTGTATATATTTTGTTATGCCTTAAAGGCCACCTGCTATAAAGTTGTTAAATCTTAAATATGCTTTTTAAAAATTGGAATAATGTATTAAGGTCAAATAATATCTCGTAAAATATATATTTCTGCTAATATTAGTAAATATATTAATTTTTCATTAGATTCATATGGTTTAATTTCACACATTCAACACCTTTAAATGTTGTAATCTTAATATGCGAAGTGTGCCCCCGCAAGATACTAAACACAAAGCTCATATTAAGAAAACAGTTGAGGACTCAGAAGTCAGTTAAAAATGCACTTTCCGAACACTGATTTCACAACCCCGAACAGCAGCATTTTTGGAAGGCAACCTGTTCGTGATGATACAATGTAAATGGGGACTTCTGTAAAGTTCTCAGTTCTGGCCCATGTGGTTTATCTTTACATTTTAAAGATGAAAAAATCTTTACAACCTGAATCCAGGTCTAAAACACACTAGAGTAGCCGGCGACTATAAGTAATATTTAAAAATGCTGTGTCTACACCATCAAGACTGTGTCTACACCATCTTGGCTGGATGAGAAGAGATGTAAATGCCGGGTGGTCCCATGGACCCGTGGCCTTGGGTACAACAAAACCAGCCATCAGAGTTGCACCCCGAAGCACCACCTGCTGTCCGGCTGCCTGTCTGGCCCAGACAACCCTCAGAAAATCAAACCAGCTGCCTCTCCCATTCTCCCCTCCCATTCTGCCACAGCAGCCTGTGCTGCTCCAGTGCTATGCCTGGAGGCTCAACATGAAATGTCCCATCCAAACGTTCAGATGAACTGAGCATCTTACACACGTAATACAGAGGAGCACACATTGGGATAGAAACAGTAGAATAACCACAGGCAATTAAACTTTAAATTTTCTGAGCAACATTTTGGTATTTAAACATTTCTTGTAAAAAGCTAAGATTGTTTGTAAGAAAAGAATCCCTAAAATCTAGATTTATACCATTTTTTTAAAGTCTCACCTTTCAATGTTTAATAAAAGAAAAAGAGAAATCCTTAATCTAAAAGCTAAATTATTTTTGAATGGAAATACTACTGAGACCATTGAGCCTGGATAACAGTAACGATCCCATTGCCAGATAAGATTGGCTGATGGGGAAAAAAAAAGAATGGGTGTGAATGTACCAACATTGAATTTTATAGCAGTTATCTTTCTATGGCCATTAGGTACCTAGCAGATGAGCACAATATAAACAAAGAGATATCTGGCCTACCTTACTACTAAAAGCATTTAACACGTGCATTTTTGGTACGTTTTTTGTTTCCTAAAAGCTATATAAAGGCCTTATTTGACATTTTCACTGATAACTGATCGCACCCTCGTGTTGCAGTGTTCGTCCCTATTCATTGATGGTGTGTGCAAATGCAACCCAGGACACATTATTGTTCCATAATAGGCTCACAGGGAATCAAGCTTCTCGCCCACTCCATGGCTCCAAGCCCCATCCAAGGGCAAGACTTGGTGCCCAGCTGGAAGGACGAAAGCGCACTTCGTGACCGCCATCCTCACCAGCTGCACGCCCGGGCTGCACACTGCTGAATGTGCTCTTCTCTCCTTCTCTGTACAATGATTCAGCATCTCGGTGGAAGAGGAAAATGGAGCTTTTTGAGGTTCACCAGGTCCCTTTTGTTTTCATCGTTAAAATTCCAAACCCAAAGCCTTTTTTTGACTGAAGGAGAAGAGAGGGAAGTAAGTTTCTGTTCAGCACCTGAACCTAGAAACAGAGCCAGCTTGCTACAATGAAGGTGACATTTCTCTGGTCATTTATGTGAGAGTTTGAAGTCAAAGTAGAGGGGCACAGGCTTTGGTTCATGTCTAGGAGCTCTCTGTCAGAATCCTTGAAGCCCTTTAATGGTCTAACCGGCATCTCTTGTATCAAGAAGTACCTTTAAGGTAGACCTTTTCAGGGTGCCCTCAGGAAAGGGCCCTGCTCACGTTTTATCCTGTCCCCTTAGAGCAACCCCAGGTGTCCGCTGCAGGGGTTCTGCCTGTTCCCAAACCTTTTCCATCCCAGGAACAAAGGAGAAGCCACTTTCCCCGGGACAAAGGACTCTCCGTTCCGCTGTCCGGGGCAGCATTCCCCTTTAGAGGGGAAGTCATTACAGTCTCATGGCCTCTACCAAGGTCCCAGTTCACACAATCTCCTGGGCCTTAGGGCAACTCACACTGGGGGAATCAACCCCTGGGGGACTCAGTATCTTCTCCGCGCAACCTGGAAAGTTCATCTCTTCTTTCCTTCGGTCAAAGAAAGTCCATTGTACATAACAAAACAGCCCCGAACAGCCCAGTGCCGACACCGTTGTTCCTTTCACATTTTCCTTTGTTGCATGCAGTTGGGCTCAAATGCCAAATAGTGATTAGAAGACGACCATTCTGATCTGTGTGTGATCTGGTCACTGTGTGACTGCCTTTATGGTTTCTCTCCATGTGCTATACGAGTGAAGAATGCATACCGGTGTTTCAAAAGGTATTTTTACGTGTTTTTAAACACTTTTTAAAATGAGCCTGACACCTGTGTTTCAGCATTTGGAGACATACCCATGTTATTCTTTTAAGTGTATGATTACGGATACTTTTTCGTTTGTTTGTTTAACCAAGTTGTGTTTAATTTATGTGCAATCTTTATAATATATGTATGTTATTACAGTTTCAACTATCATATTTTCTTTGATTACATTTATAATTTGATCTTGCTCTGATTATAATGCCAGTGAATGTTGCTGAATTCTTTGTATATGCAAATTGCAAGATTTAAACCATTCTGATGCAAGGATAAACCTTTACTTTGACTACCAGCCTGTGTCTTTTCCTTCAGATCTCTTACTTTTATTCCTGTGCAAAAAAAAAAAAAAAAAAAAAATCGCCTGCTATAAGATGGGGTTTGCTGTTGTGGGCCCTTTTGTTACTGGTTTCTCCCTATGAGTCTGTGGGTCCCAGTGTCCCATCCTAGACAAGCAGCGTCCACTCTGCTGTGGATGTGGTCTTGGCCCTTCCCCTGGAGTAAGCAGACCTGAACATATGAAGGTGCAGGCACAGCTGGACACAGTGGGGAGGGGCAGAGGGATCCAAGGAAAAGAAAGTATGGAAGAGGCATAAAGAAAGTCACCAACTGGGCATTCACCAGGGGCCAATGAACCCAAATAGCACTGCCTGAGACCAGTGCCTCAGAAGGAGCTGAGGTCTGCAAAAGTACACTTGCCAGACCAGCCTCAAAAGCAGCTCCTATCAGCAGAAACACACAGATAGGACACTGAGTGCTGAGGGACCTCAGGAGAGACAGGCAGGTTGCCAATGGCACCGATGAGTGTGTGTGTCTCAGCAAGCCACTCAGAGGAGCATTACTGAGACCACACTGGGAACTCCACTCTGCAGAGATGCTCCAGGGGTCTCCCCACATCTCATGCATGAAGGAGCAGGATGCTGGAGCGCTGACCCACAGCTCTCATCCACCAGGAGAAAGGTTGGTTCCAGGGATGCCAGCTCCCTGGCACATGCATGCCCCACTTGTGGGCCTACTGTTGCCAAAATCAGAGGATCGCCCAGGGACAGTGACACACAACATCCAGGCATCTGCTGTGGTCACCAAGCTCCCAAGCTTGGCCTCTAATGGCTTGCATATTGGGCGTGGCAGCTGTGTGTCAGTGAGGAGCAATGTTCATCCCAGGGGGGCCTCGGGCCATCTGCTGGGTTGCTGGGAGGGCAGCTCCAGGGCTCAAGACAGCCATGCCCCAGCCAGATCTCACACTGCCACCACCACATTCAGTGCCCACAGCTGGTCTCCCACTTGGCCCAGGGTCTAACAGAGCCAACTGCCTCTTGTCTCAAAGGATGGGGCAATACCAGCAATATAGGGAGACATGTTTGTTACAAACATTCAAATCAAACAAATACACCAAGAGCATTTAGCCCGTTTCCTGACTCCTCTCCCCATCTCATTCCATTGATAACTTTGGAGTACATCTCCAGACAACACTCTGCAATTTAAATCTGTATAGTTCCAGAAACATATACATTGTTTGCTTTTATGAACAACAGTCAAACTCCTGGTATATCATCAAATCCAGGACTACCATTGTCAAAATCACTTTATGTTCTAAGAAAGCAAGAATACTGCCATTTATTCCTGTAAGATCCCACCAATTTTGTGATAATCCTGATGTTAAGGAGGTTAATATGTGAAAGCACTGTATGTTACAAGTGACTAAATCTGCCACATATGGGCAGTTTTGCAGATGGCCCTCTTTGGTCAACATCCTGCCTGGCCATGTCCGCACTTACAGAGCTACCTACTTCTGTGTAATGGCTGCTTGGCATTCCACAGTATAAATATAACGAAGTCTGTAGAGTCACCTCCACCTCCCCAGTGACAGACATTAACTTGTTTCCACACTGCAATTCTATAATTCAATTGTATAATGAATACTCCTGCATTTGTGTATGTTTGCTAATGTGCAGACTAGTTCTATGGGAGAATTCCCTAGAAGTGAAGTTTCCAGGTCAAAGGGCATGCACATTTTAAATTTAAGTAGAAAACACCAAATTGTCACTTCCAAAGGATCTTCCCAGGCACCAACTCACCAACAGGGCATGATGGCGTTGTCTCCCTAGAAGTCACTCACCCAGGACATTAGCAAACCTTTTAGTTTTTGCACACCCGAGAGGCAAAAAAAAAATCAGACTTCATGTGAATTTGCATGTCCCAGAGTTCTATTGGGTTGAGCATGTTTTCATACATGCGTTATTTATGTTTCATCAGTGAAGCACCATTCAGAGTTTCATCCATTTTCCTCATTGTGCCAATTGAGTTTTCCTTGTTGGTTTATTGTCAATCTTTTATTATTATTATTATCTTGTTTACTGTCAGTCTTTGGAAAACACGGGTACTAACCCTTTGTTTTTCCTATTATAACTGTGCCCCTTCTGTTCCTTTGTCAGAGCGTCTCTGACAGCTGTTTAATGTACTTGCCAGGAAGCAGCACCAAGTAATGCACCGACACTGTCACCCGGCATGTTGTGGCAACATCCTAGTCTCATCTCAAATAAGACTCTGGGCTTCTTCCAGGGATCACACCAAGTTTCAAGAAACACTTCACAGGATCAGGTTCCCCTCCAGAATTCTAGGCTAAAGGAGCCCATCTGTGCCTTAGAAACCAAAACCTGTTTCCCTCTTGCATATGGACCAGCAGCCTTTGCTATAAGCACTCAGAGGCCCCGGCAGAGGCTGGACCGAGGTGTGAGCTTCACATTTGGCTCTGCTCTGGATGCTGAGGTTATATGACAGTGCCCTCCTTCTGAAAGTAACACATCCCCACTCCATCCAGAAAAGCCCCATGGATGAAAGTTATGTCATCCTGATGTGGCTGCGTTGCCACCTGCAGGAGTGTCTGCCAATGACCGTGCACCTGGAGGTTTGTGTCACCGAGCGGCCAGCATGTGGCTGAGGTGTGGGGTTGCCCCTCCTTTCCCAACCACTGAATCCTGTCCGAGGTTGCCTAGAGCATCCTGCCCTCACTGATAGCCCTTTCCTGAGCAAAACCTCCCTCAAAGATGCAAACGGACACCATTCAGAACAGAGGCCAACAAACACAACAGCGGTTCTTTGGGGCCCTTTTGTGGTGAGCACTAATGCTGTGATTAGAGAGGATATCTGAATGAGCACGGAAAATCCCAGTGGTTTTTCAGTAATCACTATTAAGATGAAAGCATAAGCACATTATAACAATTAGCCCAGAACGACTATGATAGTAACAATCAACATATTCACTTCATTCCTCTTTTCTTATTTTCAAAATATGTATTTTAGGTTTATAAAGTGAGCCATATACACAAATAGTTCTCATTCCATGAGCACCTATGTGCTGGGCCCTTTATATGGGTATTATCTGTACAATATCCTCTCAAGGGCTGAGAAACAGAGGCTTCCAGAGGATATGAAACTAGACCAAAGTTAGGTTGGAGGTGATAGAAGAGACAGAATTCCAACCCAGGACACCCCTATGCTGCTGTGGCCCTTCTAAATTCAGCCACTCTGCGTAACTTGCCCTTTCTTTGAGCTATTATTAAACAACACTGTGGCACATTAAAAATACTTGAGAAGGCCACGTATGGTGGCTCATGCCTGTAATCCCAGAACTTTGGGAGGCCAAGCTGGGCAGGCCAGGAGTTCAAGACCAGGCTGGGAAATATAGCAAAACCTTGTCTCTACTAAAAATAAAAAAATTAACCAGCATGGTTGCAAGCGCTTCTAATCCCAGCTACTCAAGAGACTGAGGCACGAGAACTGCTTGAACCCGGGAGGCAGAGGTTGCAGTGAGTAGAGATCGCACCATTGCACTCCAGCCTGAGAGGCAGAGTGAGACCCTGTTTCCAAAAAAATGAGAGAAAATCATTTAGTTAAGTAGCTACAGTTGACTTTATGGAGTCGCCGTTTGCCATGTTGACTCTCAATGACAGCCCAGGATGTGGGCTGGGGCCTGACCCCTCTTCCCTGACCAAACTGACCACTGAGCATGGCTCTCCCTCCCTTCCTCCTCAGCCTCTCCAGATGGTGAGGAGCCCTAGATGCACCCACCTGCAAACTTTTATCTCACTACAACAGAAAGACCTCTTCTTCAGGACTAACTGACCTACTGCAGGCTCCTGCCCTTGGAACTTGCCAGCAAATTCACTCGCAGGATCCATGTCAAATCAGGGTTGCCAGAGGAAAGTCAGGGCATGTATTTTCATCTGCTGACTTGGGGCTGCCCTGGGTCAAATCCCCGTCCCTCAACTCAGCACCTCTGTTCCAACAAAGCAGACACGGCTGTGGTTGCAGGTAGTTCTCGAAACACAGCAGGCCATTCCTGCAGGACTAAAAGTGGCTGCGATGACTTATTGGCCAAGAGAGAAAATGACCATCCAGTCAAGTTGTAGAAATGAAAATGGAACGTAATGAACCAGTCTCTCTTACACTGGCCTGTCGCCCCACCCACACTTACTTTCTTTCCCCACTCTCCCTATAATAAAAATACCGTGGGTTTTAAGACCATTTCATCACACACTTTGTTGGGCATCTCCTGTGGCTGGTCACTGGGATACAGTAACCAGGAAATACATAGTCAGCCCTCATGAATGAACAAAACTTACAACCCCAGGAGGGGAGCCAGAAACTCAATTAGTGGTTTGGTGTCCACAATGCTACCTGCTACAAAGAGGTACAGAACAATTTCAGGCAAACTACGAACCTGCCCGAGCCTGGAGGACAGGCATGGGGTGAGGTAGCCCACAGGCAGGAAGCCGCCCTTAAGCTGAGTTCAGGACTGGATGCAATGATCTTGGTGGGGCCGGAGTGAAAGTTCCAGGCAGTGAAAACAGCAGGGAGTGTGTGCTGGCTGGGGATGCCTGCCAAAGGCAGGCAGGAGACAGTGGGTACAGTTGAGTAAGAAAGCTCAGGAGAGGCTGGGGGACCAGATCGCACAGGCCCTGGGAGGCGAAAAAGTAAAAACAGCTTCTATTTATTGGGAATGTCCTATCACACGGAAATTCACTTGGAAACTGAAGCTCAGAGAAGTTACCATGCCATGGTGGGAATGGGTGGGTATTTGTTCTCAAATGTAGTCAGCCCAGGGCAATGGGCAGTATTTGTCAGCTCCCTCCCTCCCCACCATACAAAGTGAAGGAGGGTTGTATAGAAGTGGTGTTCATCTATTAAACACAGCGGTAGCCCTTGAATGAACGTTTCTAATCCGTCAACAGCCCTGTAAAATGAAAACCACTCTTAGCATGCTCTTGAAATACTGTACTTACCAGGGTGAGAAAAGGTGCTGACACACTTCAGCAAGATTTCTGGTTAGAACTGAACTCTAAAGGATTTTTCTACTAAACAAAATATTCCACTCCACAGGCATATGGCTAGATACAATTTTTCTCTATGTAAGGTTCATAATTACTACTAAGTCTGAAGTGTTAGAACAACTTGATCATAGCAACATTCCTACTAAAGGTTTTGAAGTTGGCCTACCTAGAAGGAAGCATTTATGCCTCACACCTTCCAAAGTGCCTCCGCTAAGAGCCGCTCCTCCTTGAATACCCTCTCCTGTTCTGCCCTGGCGCAATCCCCGTACTCTTTGCAGCCCTGTGAAGCCCTTAGATGTCCCCTCCCTGCCCTTCTATTCCCTCCCTCAAGCAGAATGTCATTCTCCCTTATGATCATGGACGATGCTGTTATAACACTATCATGGCAGCCAATACAGCACAAGTCAGTACCACTGATTTCTGCATTCATTCAGCGAATATTCGTGTCATGTGGCTCCCCGCCAGACACTGGGGAGACAAGCGTGGAGATGGGGGTGCAATGACCACACAGGGCACTTGCTGGGGGACAGCTACCCTGTCTGGTGTGTTATCCTCACCTGCACCTGGCAAAGTGGGTGAATGGGGAGTCCAGACAGGTGACCTGGGCGATGGTGGGCTATTCTCTGATTTGGGGAACACAGAGAGGAGAGGGGACAAACTGGAAAGTAAATGGAGATGAACAAGTTATGTCTACAGGCCTGAAGCTGGAGAAAGATGTCTGAGCTTCAAAGGAGATTTTGGAGGCAGCGGCTCACAAGGAAGCGATCCTGAAATCGTGGCTGAAGGGCTGAGTGCTCAGTCCCTCCAAGGACGATGATGCTTTTCAGAGTACTGGTGTCACTTCCTATACCGGGTGGCATTGGGCTGTCAGAGTCAGAAAGAGAACAGGTGGGAGCAGAATCAGTAAACTTCTGAAGCTTTCAACGACAGGGAAGCTGGAGAAGATGAGGAGCCTGGTTGAGGTCATGATGCGCCACAGCCCGGGACCCTGAGATTCCGCGGGTGAATGTCTCAGGTGAGAGCAGTCCTAGTTAGAAAAGTATTCCCAAGAGACAAAGGCAAGCCATGAGTCACTCCTTACAGAAACTCACTCTTGGTCCCTAAAGATGTGCTCACAAGTCATTCTCTAAAGCACTTTATTTTCAGAAAGGAAAGGACACCAAAAATAGGACTGTCCTGTGCAGATGTCCAATTGCCTTAATGAGGGGAGCAAATGCCCTGGGCCTAGCCATTGGAGACAGATCTTAAAAGCTCCATTCATCGGTGCACTCACCCTCTCATTCATGTTTACCAAGTGCCTGCTCAGTGCTGGGACAGATGAGCATAGATGTTCCTGCCATCATGCCCTGGAGGACACAGGCAAACATTTAAACAATGACAGTGTGGCAAGGGTCACAGTTAAGGCTGCTGTAGGGTGGCTGTGGGTGATGATAGACCTCAAGGCTTCATTCCACAAAGCTGAGAGCAAAGCATGGTCCAAACTCCTTCCCAAAGCCCCCAGTGTTCAACTGTTCTCAGTCCAGGAGCCCAGCAGTGCTCCCAGTGGAGTTTACGAGGCCGATTCAGACCCAGCAAATTCAAAGTTTTCTTCCCTTAAGCAGATTGACAGTCTTACTTACAGAATTCACTTGTAATTTATGACAAAAACTGTACTAGAACTTATCACAAAAGTAACTTTATTATATTTTTCCCAGTTCGATTTTTTTTGTTAAATATCTTCACTGTCCCGGTGACTTCTGGTTCTTATTTTCTTGACGTACACAATGTCCTCAGCCTGTGTGGGAAGAAAAAAAAAAGATCTCTTAAGTAATTTAAACACCCATTTTTGTAATTGACCTCCTCTGCAAAACGTCAAAGGCTTACTAGGTATTATGCTGGTCCTTAGGTGTAGAAAATGAATGTTAAGGCTGGAAATAAGTTTTAAAATATATTCCATTAACGTTGTTTTTCTTGACTTGAACTGCTTTTATTATGCAGTTTACACTTAAATAATGTGATCTTTTCATACAAAAGTTCCTAATGCATTTTAAGCTAATACATAATAAAACAAAATTTCTTCATCAATGCACACATTTTCACAAGCTAAAAACTGTCACTCAGAAAAAGTGAATCCAACCAGGACTAAGTCTTTTGGGTCTTCTAAACCAAGCAGCTCCCATAGACAGAACTATCCCCAACTTGCACGCAGGTGACCTGCCTTGGCCTTCACTCTTGCAGGAGTTCTCACCTCTTGGCTAAGGGGGAGGGACCATGGTGAAAAGCATGGCTATAAGCTTCTTACTGGAAAAAATCTGTTATATATGCATTTTCTAGGACCACCGACACCCACCGAAGAACTCAGCAATAGAGGAGCATGTATGTGTTGGGCGTCTCCTGGGTGCTTGTGTGTGAGAAGAGGCTGGAACGCCCCTGGCAGAACACACCGGGCCTGGCTCAGCCTTGGGCCTGGTTGCTCTGTGTTTAGGAATCATCCTAGTTAAAAGATTTGCTTTCACCCTTCTTTTGTTTCATTCTGATGAAGCAGCACCTTCCAGACTGTGAATTCGGTGAGCGCCTAGAGCCTGTGCTTTATTGTAAGACTGGACGGGTGAATGTGCTCACCCACATCAGCTGTTGCATCCCTGGTGTCCCTGTGGTCTCTAGGACCTTGTCTGGCACTGTCAGATGTCTTCTGCTTCCAGCCTGCCCCAGAAGTAGTCTCTGACTTAGGACACCTGTGTGGGCATCAGTGTCCTTGTTGAGCCTCCCCTCTTCCCTCTCTGGAACAGTCTATGAGCATCTCCCCATTAGGACTTCCTGCCCACCATCCAGACACACAAGCCCTCCGCCTCCACTGGCTGCCTGGCTATGCAGCAGGTATTGGGGAATCTTTCCTCTTCTTGGCAGTTGAAGCTTCCTAATTTGTGCTGAAGGTCTGTCTGGACAGCTGTACTTGCCAGAATTCTGTATCTGAAGAGGTTATTGCTACATCAGTTTTGTTTGCTGAACTCAGAATATGGTAGTTTTAGGTCCAAAGTTTGTGTGTGCTAAGAATTACATTTATACCACTCACAAACAGGGAGCAATTCAACCTATTTTTATTTTAGCTAAACCAAGTATTCCCCAGAAGAACACTAATGGAATTGAATCATTCTTATCGATTTGTCCACATGCTTGTAATTATGTGTGGCTAAACTTGATGTGATTTCAGTAGCACTTAAAGCTCATTAGCTTAGATAGTCTCTGGCTGGAGGAGGGTTGGAGGGCAGAAGCACTCCCCACTGATCAGGAATTCTCACATAGTCAGAGTGTGTCTCAGGGCCACCCCAACCTCTGTTCCTTCTACCTTTCCAAAGAATTCCTTGGACATTTTTCTGTTTCAATAGTTTGTTTTTTTTTGGGGGGGGGGAAGAACTTTTCTGTTTCAATAGGTGTTTTTGAACTACAGAAAGGCTGAAGACAGCTACCTGCAATTGTATCATGAGGTACATCATAAGCAGTCAATTAGCCACTAGACAAATTCCTTTTCTTTCTGAAGAAAGTCTTCATAATGTGAATTTGCTATTTGAAGTGGAATCCCCAAAGCAGACACAACAAAATATAACTAAAATGACAAAACGTATATCTTAGGATAATGCTTCTTCCATGAATGTAACTGGGAGCTGGCAGAATGCTGTTGAAAATAATGCTTTTTGTTTGCCTTTGCAACCTTGGGCAAAAAAATACATCAAAACACTGTCTCTTTTAAAAGCAGAAAACAGTACACGGCTTACCTTCTTTGGATTTTCTGCACACCTCTTGACACTCCGCGTTACTCTCTGTGCAGATTCGCTCTCCAAAGTGCTTGCTGCAGACTGGCTTTTCATCTTTCTTGATCTCAAACACATGGAGTCTGAATTTCCTGCTTCTCCTTTCCCTTCCTGATTCTGCATGAGAACCCCTGCGCTCTTCTGCCCTCCGCTCTCCTCTGCCACCTTAGGCTGGGAGCTCTTATTCTGTCTCACAGACCTCAAGCACCTTTTGTTTTCACTGACTTTGCCTCTAGGTATGGGTTTCCGGGCTCCGCCATCTGGATTCTGAATGTCCATCTCTGGGGAGGTCTTCATGGGCTTCATTTCATTTCTGTTTATTTCTATTCTTTCTGCTAATACCAGGACCTCAGTTATTTGCTGTTCTACATCAGTCTTATTTTGGCGTCTGGAGCGCAGGGATATTCCCTAAAGAAATGAGAAGACATCCACAGAATTCCAGTAATTAGTAAAACAAATTCAAAATTCAACAGGGAGAACAATCAACAATAGTAAACTAAAAGGAGAAATCATTTGAAAATTACACACTGACGAATTTTCTAAGAAACCTGTCATCTAAGATAGTCAAGGTAATGCCTTGGTACTTTGTTCCTATGGAGAAATGACTGTCTCTGCTGACAAATTATAAATAAGGCATTCAGGATAAATTTCAATAACAATGCCTAATAAGACATATATCAAATCTAATTTTTACAGTTTATAGAAAGAAGCTCCATTATTCATTCATTTACAGAGAGTAAATGAACTCCTATTCCTTTAACCATCACTGCTAAGGCAGAATAGGAAATTACCATTTCTGGAGTTTCCCCAAACTTCTCCGGATGCAGTAGGAACCTCTCTAACAGTCCGGACAGTTTCCCCCTTCTCAAGAATACACACTCCCTATCGATACTGTTCTGATAGTTAAAATAGTGACATAGATATTATTTTTAACCCACTCCTGGTCTTAGTGACAGGATCTGGAACATAGAACTGAACCACCCACCTATCCTCTGATCAATTTTTCAAACATATGAAGATGAACATTACTCATTTGGCTCTTGAGAAACTCTTCTAAGTTTGCATTAATCATTTTATCATTTTTGACTCATTCTTTTCCCAAATTAGTCTGTTCCCTCTATAGGTCCCAAGAAGATTCTTTACCATGGCCTGCAGTTGTTCACTGTGTTAAATGAAACCCATCTGGGAAATGATAACCACTTATAACGTCAGGTTACATGCAAAGTATAACACAGAAACTGACAGCTATCCAAGATGATATTGGGTGATGCTGTAATACTTCCTCTCACCTTATTTTCAGGGACCGAGTCTTGTAATTTGTGTTCCTCTTTGTTGGTTTTCATGTTGTTGCTGTTCAGCTCTTCCACAGGTTCAATTCTTTTTGCAGAAGTCCTCAAACTTCTCTTCATGATGACCACGGGTTCCGGTGATTTGCCTCTCGCCCTGGGAGCAACCCTCTGCTTCTTGCTGGCTGGCAGCTCCTCCGCGATCTCCTCCGGAGCAGGCATGCAGAGCAGCCTCTTGGTTCCTGTGGCGCTTCCATCTTTGCCACCTCCCCTCTCGAAGGGCAGTGGGGGCAGGGAAGTGTTGCTTTTGCTTTGTGATTTTACAGGGTCTGTGGTACTTACCAGGTCTCCCACGGGTTCTACTTTAGGGGCCCGAAGAACTCTTCTGGATGTTTTTAGAGGTTTTCCACTGTCAGGTGTTTTCTTTGGAGCGCTTGTAAAGCTATCAGCAGCACCATTTGCCAGTTCCTCAGTGTGGCCTGGTGTTGGAGAGAGCTCTTGGAAGCTGGCCAGATCTTCTAGGGGTTGGGCCTTTTCCTTAGGTGCTCTTGGCCGTCTCCTGCTGCCAATGACGTCTTCTGCGTCCAGCTTCTGCTTTGCAGGTTGCTTAAATGCTTTCATGCCTTTGTTCTCACCTACCGGCTCTTTGTCGGTGTGCGCGGTCTCCCCTGATGTTTGTGTGAGACTGCCGACTGCTAACAGCTCCTCCTTCACTGCTACTTTCTGGGCACGTGTCCTGGGCCGTCTCTTTGAACTTGTCGCAGTGTCTACTAGTTCTGGTGATGATTTGCAGGGTATTTTAGTGGTTTTGTCATCAGTCATTGATTCTTCAGTGTGACCCAGTGCTGGGTCTTTGAAGTCAGCCAGGTCCTCTAGGGCTTGGGCATTTTCCCTGGGTGCTCTTGGCCGTCTCCTGCTGCCAGTTACACTTGCTGCTGGAGCCAGTGTCTGTTTTGCAGATTCCTTCACTGCTTTGATGCCTTTATCTTCACCTACTGGTTCTTTGTCTGCGTCCGTGGTTTCCCCTGATGTTTGTGTGAACTTAACTGCTGAAGGCTCTTCTTTTACTTGTACCTTCTGCACACGTGTCCTGAGATGCCTCTTTGTGTTTGCTGTGGTGTCTACTACTTCTACGGGGGGAGATTTGCAGGGTATTTTAGTGGCTTTGCCAGCAGTCAGTGGTTCCTGAGTGTGACCTGATGGTTCAGAGAGCTCTTTGAAGCCGGCCGGGTCTTCTAGGGGTTGGGCCTTTTCCTTAGGTGCTCTTGGCCTTCTCCTGCTGGGTTCCTCTTCTACTGGGTTCGGTTTCTTCTTTGCACGTTGTTTAAATACTTTGATGCCTTCATCACCACTTGCTAATTCTTTGTGTATGTGTGTGCTTTGCCCTGAGGTTTGTGTGAGCCTCTCAGGTGCTGAGAGCTCCTCTTTCACTTCTTTCCTGAGACGTGTCTTGGGGTATCTCTTTGTGCTCGTGGCAGTGTCTGCTGGTTCTGCTGGGGGAGATTTGCAGGGCATTGTTGTGTTTTTGTCAACAGTCATTGACTGTTCAGTGTGACCTGGTGCTGGGAAGAGCTCTCTGAAGCCAGTCAGGTCTTCTAGAGCACTGGCCTTTTCCTTACGAGTTCTCAGCTGCCTCTTGCTACCAGTTACATTTGCTGCCGGGTCCAGGATCTGCTTTGGAGACTCCTTAAATGCTTTGATGCTCTTACTATCTCCTGTTGGCTGTGTGTGTGTTTGCGTAGTCTTCCCTGATGTCCGTGTGAGCTTGTTGACCGCTAGGGGCTCTTCTTTCATGTCCACTTTCACCAGGGATATCTTGAGCCTTTGCTTGGAGCTTCTTGAGGTTTTGAATGACTCTGGCTGTGGAGATTTGCATGATACTTCTGTCATTTTGTCATCAGTCATTGATTCCTCAGTGTGACCTGGTGTTTGGAAGAGCTCTTTGAAGCCAGCCAGGTCCTCTAGAGCCTCAGCCTTTTCCTTAGGAGTTTGTGGCCGTCTCTTGCTGCCAGGTAAATTTCCTGGCAGGTCCAGATTCTGCACTAGAATTTCCATAAATGTGTTATTTTTCTCATCACTTACTGCTGGTTTGGGTGTGTCCATGGCTTTGCCTGCTGACGGCGTTAGTTTCCTGAGTGCTAAAAATTCTTCCTCTACGTCTGCTTTCCTAAGACTTCTTTTGGGCTGTTGCTTTGTGCTTGCTGGGGTGTCCGCTGGGTCTGGTTGTGGAGATTTGCAGGGCATTTTGGTAGTTTTCTCATCAGTTGTGGGCTTGTCAGTGCCTGGTGTCTGGAAGAGCTCTTTGAAGCCAGTCAGATCTTCCAGAGGCTGGGCCTTTTCCTTAGGAGTTTGTGGCCGTCTCTTGCTGCGAGGTAAATTTCCTGGCAGGTCCAATTTCTGCACTGGAGTTCCCAGAAATGCTTTCATGTCTTTCTCATCGCCTCCTGATGGTTTGGGCGTGTGCATGGCTTTCCCTACTGACGGTGTTAGCTTCCTGAGTGCTAAGAATTCTTCCTCTACATCTGCTTTCCTGAGACTTCTCTTGGACTGTGGCTTGAAGATTGTTGGGGTGTCCACTGGGTCTGGTTGTGGAGATCTGCAGGCTATTTTGGTAGTTTTCTCATGAGTCGTGGGCTTGTCAGTGCATACTGGTGTCTGGAAGAGCTCTTTCAAGCCAGCCAGGTCTTCTAGGGGTTGGGCTTTTCTCTTAGGAGTTCTCGGCTGCTTCTTGCTACCAGTTACACTTGCTGCTGGGTCCAGTCTCTGTTTTGCAGTTTCCTTAAATGCTTTGATGCTTTTATCCTCACCTTCTGGTACTTTGTCTGTGTGTGTGGTCTGTGTGAGCTTCTTCAGGGCTGAGAGCTCTTTCTCTACATCCCTTTTCCCCAAAGGCGTTTTGGGCCGCCTTCTTGTGCTTGTTGGGGTGTCCACTGATTCTGGTGGTGGAGATTTGCAGGCTATTTTGGTAGTTTTGTCATCAGTCGTTGATTCCTCAGTGGGACCTGGTGTCTGGAAGAGCTCTTTGAAGCCGGCCAGGTCTTCTAGTGATTGCGCCTCCTCCTTAGGCGTTCTTGGCCACCTCTTCATCCCAGTTCCATAGTTTGCTGGGTCCAGCATCTGCTTTGCAGATTCCTTAAACACTCTGATGCTCTTTCCATCTCCTGCTGTCTCTCTGTGTGTCTGCGTGGTCTTCCCTGACGTCTGTGTGAGTTTGCTGACTGGTAGGACCTCTTCTTTCACGCCTACTTTCCCCAAGGATGTCTTGAGTCGTCGCTTGGAGCTTGTTGGGGTTTTGACTGGGTCTGGTTGTGGAGAATTGCAGTATACTTCTGTGATTTTGTCGTCAGTCATTGATTCCTCAGTGTGACTTGGTGTCTGGAAGAGCTCTTTGAAGCCAGCCAGGTCTTCTAGAGCCTTGGCCTTTTCTTTAGTAGTCTGTGGCCGTCTCTTGCTGCCAGGTAAGTTTCCTGGCAGGTCCAGTTTCTGCACTGGAGTCCCCACAAATGTGTTGATGACTTTCTCTTCACCTACTGCTGGTTTAGGCGTGTGCATGGCTTTGCCTGCTGATGGTGTTAGTTCCCTGAATGCTAAAAATTCTTCCTCTACGTCTGCTTTCTTGAGGCTTCTCTTGGGCCGTTGTTTTGTGCTTGCTGGGGTGTCCACTGGGTCCGGTTGTGGAGATTTGCAGAGTATTTTGGTAGTTTTCTCATCAGTCGTGGGGTTATCAGTGCATGGTGTCTGGAAAAGCTCTCTGAACCCAGTCAGGTCTTCTAGAGTCTGGGCCTTTTCCTTAGGAGTTTGTAGCCATCTCTTGTTGCCAGGTAAATTTTCTGGCGGGTCTAGTTTCTGCACTGGAGTTCCCATAAACGTGTTGATGTCTTTCTCTTCACCTCCTGCTGGTTTGGGTGTGTGCATGGCTTTGTCTGCTGATGGTGTTCGTTTCCTAAATGCTAAAAATTCTTCTTCAACATCTGCTTTCCTGAGACTTCTCTTGGGCTGTGGCTTGGAGCTTGTTGGGGTGTCCACCGGGTCTGGTTGTGAAGATCTGTAGGATATTCTGGTAGTTTTTTCGTTAGTCATTGATTCCTTAGTGTGACCAGGTGTCTGGAAGAGCTCTTTGAAGCCGGCCAGGTCTTCACGGACTTCAGACTTTCCCTTAGGTGTTCTCGGTTGCCTCTTGCTGCCAGTTAGACTTGCTGCTGAATCTAAGATCTGCTTTGGAGACTCCATAAATGCTTTGATGCTCTTACCATCTCCTGTTGGCTCTGTGTGTGTGTGTGTAGTCTCCCCTGACGTCTGTGTGAGCTCGAAAACTGCTCGGAGCTCTTCTTTCACGCCCACTTTCCCCAGGGATGTCTTCAGCCGTCCCTTGGAGCTTGCTGGGGTTTTGTCTGGGTCTGGTTGTGAAGATTTGCAGGCTACTTTGGCAGTTTTATCATTAGTCATTGATTCCTCAGTGTGACTTGGTGTCTGGAAGAGCTCTTTAAAGCCAGACAGGTCTTCTAGAGCCTGGGCCTTTTCCTTGGGAGTTTGTAGCCGTCTCTTGCTGCCAGTTAAGTTCTCTGGGAGGTCCAGTTTCTGCACTGGAGTTCCCACAAATGCGTTGATATTTTTCTCATCACTTACTCCTGGTTTGGGTATGTGCATGGCTTTGCCTGCTGATGGCGTTCGTTTCTTGAGTGCTAAGAATTCTTCTTCTACATCCACTTTCCTGAGACTTCTCTTGGACTGTGGCTTG